TAGTATAAATAAAATGAAATAGCATCTCCTCCATCTTTAAATGTATTACGTGCACAATCACATACACTACGGGATAGATAACGAAGTAAAGTGAGACCCAAGAAAATTTAGATATAAGAAAAAATATCATATATAAGCATTTTTCTTATTTAAATAAGTTTTTCGCTTCAGTGACAACGGAAGTAAAGATCGAGCAGGGTTTTTTTGCTGGTCTGATTTGCTAATTTTCTAGATTTTTTTTTCTATAATGAAAGAAATAATATCCATTACATCAATTTTAGAAATATACAAGTTGTTATTACGTGAGGAAATATGTAACTTAAGAGTTAAATTTGAAATAAAGAGTTTTGAGGAAAAAAATGTTATGAAAGTACCATAATGTTTACAACAAATAAGTAGGTTTACAACAATTAGGTTTAACATAATATTAGTATACTCTTTCATTGCAGTTTTTGTATTTTTTCTCAGAAATGAGATATTTTCCCGCGGTAAAAAATACCCTACATGTTGACCCGGATAACCAGCTATGACCATACCAAATTTCATCAAAATCTCTCCAGTAATTTTTCTGTGATGCGGTAACAGACAGACAAACAAAAATTCTAAAAACTATAGATTCGGCCTCTGTATCGATAATAATGTTTATTTCAATGAGCATTCGGCTTAGTTACAATTTTATTATATGTATACATTTTGATTTCCGACGTTTCGAATGCTTTACAGCAATAATATGGGAGTGACCATACTTACATAATATATATTCTTACATCTAAATATGCTCTTATATCTTTCTCTTGATAATTGTATCTCGTGAACTATAATTAGCATAATAAGTATAATTAAACTCATTTACATGACAAAAGATCACGGTGATTGTTCTCATAAGGAGGTTGTATCGTCGACCCTGAGTCACGCAGTGGCTGCAACTAGACCAGTACGAATAAGTTTTAGAACACAATGCCATAATCTCAAGATTAAAAAAAAATTGTGTACAAATAAATAATAGATATATGTCAAAATGCCTTTTTGATAAAAATTTAATGCTACTTTTTAAAATTAATTTTATACTTATGTCCGGAGAAGCAATTTGAATTTAAATAATAATTCTTAAGTGATTTTAATTCATGTAATTTATTAGTAATAATCACACATTTATCATTTCAACTTTACATTCGTTACATTCTACATTCGTGTAGCCGTTGCCTAAGATACTCTCCCACAGATCGCTTTCTCGATTGCAACACAGTATCTGAATTAAATTAACTCTTGATCCTTTAGATTGATGCCAACAAGTATAATAATTACATCATAAGCCTTATTACAGATTAATGCAGTAGAGTTTTCTTTTGTACTAGCATTCGGCTCCGCCCGCGTTCAGATAACCAAAAACCAAATTCTTAGGTTTTACATACACATCTGTGATGCGGTAACAGACATACAGACAAAAATTCTAAAAACTATAAATTCGGCCTCTGTATCGATAATAATGTCTATTTCAATAAGATTTTCCAAAAAAAAAATAATGTACAGATTCGGCTAAGTTACAATTTTATTATATAAATAGATTACTTATATTAAAATTTTAATGGCGATATAACAAGAAAGCAAATGAAATAGGAAATGAATGACGTATAAATATTATTAGTATAAATAATTGCCCCTAAAATTTTATATGCCTCATAGAGTATCAGAGTTAATACACTCCCATGTCACGTACAATCGCATGATCTCCGTTGTTTACAAGTCCGGAAATAAAACAATGAACTTAACTCATTGTAAGAATTACATATATACTTTATATTAGTCGTTCGTTATAACTACTCCATAAGAACTGTTGTCCATATTTATTAAACATATTATATTACTTTATAACAGTCGTTTAACTAGTTGGGGTTGCAATATTGTATAATTGCTTCGGTGTTAAATAAAGATATGAATATATCATTTAATCTCAGCAACGATACTATTTAAAAAAAGATCTTGTCAAATTGGTAAGTTGTGATTTTGGAAAGCGACAAATAAAATAATGCTAGCACATTTAACTACACTTTCGCCAGAGAAAGTCGTTCGTGCATTAAACTTCTTTGTTTTAGCGCCAAAGATGACAGAATTGTGATGAATTTATAGCTAGTAATTCTGTTAATGAGTCGAGATACTGTCAGATAATTTATTACACAAACGCAATATATGACAAAACTATGTATTATTGTATATGATTATAATTTATTATACTTATTTTGTAAGTTTTATTTGTATATTGCAAAAGACTCGCTAAAGAGAAATATTATTCGCTATGGAATTAATTTAGTGTATTGTTTAACCTAAATAAAGCGACAAGATCTAATGAGACAATGGCACTGGCAATAGCAGTTGGCACAAACATTTGCCTGTTTCATTGTTACAACTGATTGGCTGCATTGGTATTAGCGCCCACGCACGCTGCGCCGGCGCATGTATAACGGTACACCTTTTATTTAGCAAAGCTGTGCGAAATTTCACAATTTACAAACCATCCTATCTTTCTCAATACTTTGCTAAGACTCGTATTAAGCTTATAAGGCTACGAATAACGTAATAAGTACTGACAACTAACGCAATATTTAAAAGTAGGAACTATATAAATCGTTTTTTTTTTCAAATATTATCTCTTTAACTAGAACGTCATATCGACATCAAATGAAGATTTTATGTGAAATTTAAGCTTTGAAATCATAAATGGTTTTATGATTAGTCTATTCTTGAGGTATATAATGATGATGATGATGATGATGAAAAAATAATCAGTACAATCAGTTTACAATAGGCGAATATATTATCATGTAACATAAAATACATATACCCGAATAAAAAAATGAAAATCTTGTCGTTTTTGGACGTTTAAAAATCAACAAGTAACAAGCACTGAGCACTTACTGGTGTCGATAATAATAATGTTACACACTAGAACACCTCTGTAATTGTGATTTTTTTGACATTAGCTCATAAGAAGTATCGTAATTACTATTATTATATGAAATTAATTTCGTTTTTTTTTATTTATAGGTGGTTAATTTAACAAGGAATAACAATTATTGATATACAAAAATGGAGAGCTGGTTAGATGACGTAAAACGCGTCAGGATACCTCGTCCAAAATTTGAACGCAAATACCCTGTGGAGCCTCCAAAAGATTACCTCGAGGACTGTAGTGATCTCAGCGGCAAGCGACATCACGACAACAAAGACCTGGTGAAGGCTACAGAAGAACTCAGACGGACGCTGCAGGAAAAGCTATGACTGTTTTACTTAAGTTTAGATCGCTAATTTAATATACCTACTTAATTTAAGATGATACAATTAAACCATTACAATAGGTGATCTATAATTGCCAGAGTAAGCGTTTTGATTGGTTAATTTTTAATAATTATAGTAACTCAAGTGACGACCGTGTACAGTATAAGGAACAGTGTTTTATGAGTAATTTTTTGTCTCGTCAGTCGTTATGACTGCTTGTTCCGGTTTACTGAGCAGCATTACAATACGATAATATAGGTATAATGAAAATGTATTCGAAGAAAGTGACTTTTATTAGAAAAATTAATTTTATTAATTGCCACCATTATATTTATACATTTACCGATAAGTATTGTTAGAGGTAAGATGATAAATAATAAGTATTATAATTATAACATAAGATACAATTATTATTCGAAAGTTCGTATCGTCCGTTTCATCTACTTAATACAAGCAAAGAGTTTACATTTTTATATTTTGTTCTGAAGTTCAATAATCAAATATTTCTATTAAATTATTGATAGTTATGTTTCGTCAGCATCTACTAATATTGACTACACTCATAAGTACCTAGAAAATGTTACCCCTACATTTGTGAGTTTCTAAAATTTGTAAAGAAAATGGTGTAGTAGTTTTAAGACTGATAATTGATAAATTATAATAGATGTTATGTTCTAACGCGTAATTTTATTGTCACGCATTAAAAATTGCAATGTTTATAATTTCTTTTTTTTTAAATTATTCCTTTTAATATTAAGTTTCTGCCTATCTTTTTTTTTTTTTTGAAGAAAACTTTGTTTTTAAAATTTATATTTACGTTGATTACAACCTCGCATCCATTTTTCAATAATTATTTATTATCGAAATAAAGGTTGCATTTAATTAAAATTAAATTAAATTATTCATTGCATAGTAACTAATTTAATTGTTTGTATTTATTAAAACATCAATCCGACATTTAAAAATGAACAACTTTGTTCTGTTATTACCTCTTTTGGTTCGGATATTATTTGTAAGTCGGTATGATTCATAAGATATATTTTGCCTCGTTTATACGAAGGTCGAGTGACTTATAAATTCATAAAAAAGTATAAGCTTTCAATAAATCACGAATATAGTAGGTGTTGGATAACCAATATCGAGGATGAAAATTTTAAAATTGAAGAATAAAATTATCGTAGTATTTTGTAGTGGTAACCTAAAAAAATCGAGCAAGTGCTTGTCTAACTCTTACCGACGGCCCTGTTTACAACCCCACCTACAATATTAATTTAACAACTACAAAAATAAAATTGTACATACATATTTTAAAATGTCGGTGATATAAGGACAGACGGACTACGGGACTCTAAAATGTATGTAAGTATTAACTTATAATTATTATAACCTTTTATATCGGGAAATACATTGTTATTATAGTCTGTAAAAACAACAAAAAGTAAAGTAACTTTTATAGATTGAGTTATGAATTCAAAGAAACTTATTATATGAAGACTGGCAATAAATTAATGAATAAAATGCGTTATTTAGATCAGGGTAATAACTGTGAGGTGTCATAACGTATAATAAAAGAATTGTAGTAAAAGTTATGCATATAAAAGTGAAAATGAATTAGGTAAAAGCCATTTGTACCATTTGTACAAACTCTTTGGAACTAGCAAATAAGAGTGAATGTATTAGACAGTTGGCTTACCGCCAGCGACTCCCGCCATAGGTATGGTGATCTACACGAGTGACATCTATATTTCGTAAAATATGATCTTTACGTTATTCTAATAAGATCTTTAGTATAACGAAAACCACGTCATGCGACCGAACTGAATCTAATATTCCTAATATTCCTATCGTATTATTCTTTTAGATTTTCAAGTGACATCTCATTTAGACAAAAGTAATGGAATGTTTATTGTTTAACTAGCGACTTACCCTCGCTTAGCTTCGCGTTCGATTCTAGTATAAACAAAAACAAATTATCCCACGGGAACCACTCATTTTCCGGGATAAAAAGTAACCTATGTGCTATTTCAGACTATAATCTATCTCTGAGCCAAATTTCAATTCAAATCCGTTCAGCCGTTCTGGCGTGCAAGAGTAACAAACATCCATCCATCCATCCTCTCAAACTTTCACATTTATAATATTAGTAGGATAACATTGCTATATAGTAAATGTTTTTTCTAATTATTTTGAAAGTAGCGATAGATACTTCAATTTTTATAATAAGTACCTATATTATTATATAAAACTATTTTTTCTCTAGGTAATATCGATCAAGTCCTGTAGTTAAATTGATAATCTGGATCTATTTAAACAGTTCAAAAGTAGCTTAGATACTTTACATACATGTATACATATATAAGTACATATAGTTAAATCTGACTAATAGCTAAATATATAAAGTATAATCAATAAAAATTAGGTCGCCGCAGGTTCATTATAAAGCGCACATAAACTCAAAGGTAAAAAAACTTTTAATTCTTTTATCTTCATCCCTGTTAAGCTTTCCAAAATATTTTATGTGTAAAAAAATCTATTACTTACGGTTTCGTCGTAATGCTGTGTATGGAGAGCAGTTGTGCTGCCCTCTCTGGAATTACATGGCGATGAGTGTCTTCTAGATCTCCGGCCCTCTTCCTCGTACTCCTGAACGTTGAAGATAACATTAATATGAAACAAGTCAAAATAACAATTAAAAATAACATGTAACACCAAAAATACACCAGAATCACATGCATACATAAACACATCAAGAAACACGGCACATGCAGGAAACAAAAGTAATAAGCACTTGAGGAAAGGAGGACGACACGTTCAAGAAGGTTCAAGAAGGACGTTCCATGACACCTACTTACACTTGGTTTTCTTGTAAGTGGGCACACAATAAACGATTCTATGCCGAAAACGATAAAGATTTTTAAGGTGTATAACAGTGTGAAGCAACGAGAGACCGCGACCAAACTGAGGGTGAGGGATGATCAAGAGTCTCGACGTTCAATTGATTTTTACAGCTATTTTTGTACGGCATAGTTTTCAAGCTATAAGAATACCTTTGTCAAAAAACATCGTAGATTTATGATATAGTTGACATAATTTAGAAATTGTTTTGTTTTGACTACATAATAATTAATGGATCAACAACCTGCTAAATTACAATGTTTAGTGTATTATACGTGTATTTTTTGAACGCAAAACCAACTAGTACCTCTTAAAGATGTCTGTACTGAAAATTTTTACTTTGTGGTCAAGGTCGATAACTTGAATTATGAATGAGATGACGATTCTTCATCAACTAAAATGTAAGATTTTTTAAACAAAAAAATACAATTCACTTAGCTCTTATAATATTCTGTGCTCATTTATTTACAATAAGATAAAAAGCTGTATTGAAAAGAGTTAAGAAATGATTTCAAAGCATTTTAAAAGAGACACAAATTACGAAAAGTTATAAATATAAAAAAAGTTCGACGTTCGACCTTTCCTTACCGACACAGATTCTATTAAAATTATATCATACACATATATTGTAGACATTTTACTGTATATTATGAAGAGCCTGCCATTGAAAGCTTTTATCAAATTTCATAAATGGACAAGATATAAAATATATACCTATTTGAACGTTGAAAATAGCCTTTAGGCTGTTATTACGAAGAAACTTGCTCCATTTACAAATAAGGACAGTTATAAAGTAATGAAAGTTACAATATCTTTAAAAACATTTGAAAACGCGATTTTCACTGAAATTTATCTATGAGAAAGTTCTATGAACTTTGCGTCCGTTGTCGCCACTGATGCAGTGTTTGGATACAACGCTAATCACAACAAAGCTCTATCTGTTACAATATTTATTGTATTTATATTATACTAGCAGAACCCGCGGTGTCGCTCACGCTAAAACTACAAAAAAATCTCTAAAAAGGTAGTTTCATACAAACTTTCTTCCCCTATTTTACCCCCTTATAGGATGAATTTTGAAAAATGCTAAAACACGTATTTATTCAATTTTATTAAAGACCATTAATACCAACTTTCAAGTAATTCAGATCGTAAATATTTTTTGAATTGTATTATAATGTGTTTTTCCATGGGAATTAAATAATCTCCCGCGGTAAAAAGTAGCCTATGTCACTCTCCAGCCCTCCAACTATCTCCACACAAAAAATCACACCAATCCGCCACTCCGTTTCGACGTGAAAGAAGGACATACAAACAAACACACTTTCACATTTATAATATTAGTATGGATTATTACTTATGTAATTTGAAAAATGTCAACTAGACAGCATTGCTCTGTTTCATACAAGCATTAATAATGTCAGGTTAAGTGAAGGGACTTCAGTTAATAGGCCTTTCGCATAGCACTATTAGATTGTAGCTTTTAATATTCATTTTAACATATAACACTTTAAATGCTTCCATTTCTTATCCCGTTCAGAATTGTGAAAAACAAAGTGGCAACCTAAGAGTTATTAAAATTGTACACAATCATATTATGTTTCTGAATACTTTTTACGAGTACGTATATGACTCAAAATATATTCAGAACAAAAGCTAAAGTACTTGAATGTACAGAAAAAAATACTTTAGCAATTAAAAAAATATATCAAAGTCAATTCATTTAACTACGTATATTAATTATTTCTCAATAGATATAAAATATACTTCCTCAATGATATCTATTTAATAATACTTCACTGTACTTCAAATACTTTTAAAGAAATATTTCTGCTATTTTTAGGAAATGCACAATTGCAGTTCTACAATGGACAGGCACTTGGCAGTTATATCGAGCTTTTAAAAAGTGTTTTGTAAGTTTACTACTTATAGGGAAAATATAATAAATAAAAATAATAATATTTTAATAATATGGTCCTTATTAACAAATGTGGTACCACATGGATAAAACAAATGCCTTAAAGAAGTGTACATATTACATGTTACGAGACTAATATAACCAACGATACTTTATATATTAGCTACGGAAGCTCTGGACAGTTTCCATTACGCATTGTGCGTAAATAGGACAGTAGAAACCCATGTGATAATAAGCCAACTTGAGAACAACAATAATAGATTCGTTGGAACAACACCACTTGAATGTTTTTAACTCTAAAGCAACTAATTATAAGGTCTGCTAATTACTTGTTCTAAATATTTATTTTTGCACTTATTTGTAACATGGTATTGCACCTTAGCCATAGCATGTATGTCGAGGGGTATGTAGTCGCGGAAGGCGACGCGACGCCGGCGACGCGACATGCCGTCCGACCGGTAGTCCGGCGTGCCGAGCACTGACGTCTTCAGCAGTAGCACCCCATCACGATAACTTACGCGCACACAAAAATTTCCCGCGCATATATCATGATTTTTTAATTGAATTAGAACAATTTCAAGAAATCGCCCTGATTTATTTATGATTGCTAACAATATTTCCACGGGACAACTATTTCCGTATACCAATGGCTCTACAATAATGCAATTCGTAGGGAAAAGTTTCCGCCGATGTGGTACATTGACACAGTAGGTAGGGGATTATTATCCAGATAAGATACCTTTGTTTGCTAATGTTACATCGCGTAATATACACACAAAAACTTCAAACACTTATATTGGAAAACCTCCCCTTCGAACTCGGTTAAATCAATCTTAATAAAATGATTAGCACCTATATATAATTCTATCAATTTTTTTAAATAAAAAAGGGTGAAATATTGCTAATATTAAAAAAAAAGAACCAATTTAAAGTTTAATATTTTTAACGCTACGCAATGTAGCTTTTTGATGTATCAATTTTAATATATGTATATAATAAAACTAATAAAAAATGTAAGGAAATTCTACAAAAAAATTATGAAGATATATTTTATCTTCAACAAAGTGTAATAAGATCAATAAAATGAAATTGCATATCTACATGTCTCGACCACGCCACAATAACCATAGTAATCCTACTAATATTACCTATAAACGCGAAAGTTTTTGTAGATATATGAATAGATAGATGTTAGTTACTTCTTTACGCAAAAACTACTTAACAGATTATGATGAAACTTTACAATAATATAGCTTTTATATCAGAGGCTTATATATAACATAAAGGCTATAACTTTTAAAGATATAGTAAGTAGTAACTCATTATTAAACAACACTTACTGAGAAAACGCTGGTTTAACATAAATAAATGCGAAAATTTGAGTACACATTCAATATTTATAACTTCTTCACGGTGTAATGGCTTAAAGGATTTGAGTGAAATTCTAAATCGTAATAGCTATATTTAACAACACATCTACCACGCAGCGTTAGACGATGGGACGGGATATAGGGACGGATAGACGCGCAGCGTAGGCTCTCTAGGACCACATGTACTTGTATTGGAAAACATCCACACGAAACTCGGTTAAATCAAACTTAATAACATGATATCGCACCTACAACATAGTATATTTCTATAAATTTTTTGAACAAAAAAGGCAGTGGAATCTAAACACAAACCTTCGGTAATAAATAGTAGAATTCTTCATAAGAAAATCTTTCTTCTTAAGTAATTTTTCCACAATTTTAATCAAATTATCTTAAAATTGGAATTATATCACAATTAATTGTACAATATTTATATATTTGTATGTACCTATATTTTGAATGGACTTCGTTTAATTTATTTTGATTTAGAACTAAAAATAACACAGAAATTATGGAAAATCAAAAGGGCATGTGTTTAACCTCAGCAAATACTATATAAGGTAATTCCATTACGAGAACCTTTTGTTCCAAAGAAAGAACATAATGGGCTATTACTTTAATAAGGGCGTACCTCTTCGTTCGTTAACTCTTAAAGTAAGGGAGTAGGAGCACTTATCTTAATGATATCTACATCAAATTCGCGTCGCGGATCTTGTCTTGTTTGACATCATTTGGCCCATTGAAATGGCTTAATTTTTTTAATTGGAAAAACTATACGAATAAATTTTATCTATAAACTTAATTAGATATACAATAAACACGTGTTGACAGGTTTGGCGGTCGCTTATATCATAGAATAGTCATTTACTTTATTTAATATATAAAATCATAAAAAAAAATGAACTCATACAATAATATTTTAATTTCCTTGTCGTATTAACGGGTTAAAGAGATATTATCAGGACTACGATGAAACAAGAAAAAATAATACCGTCCTAATGAGGACTATAATTGAAAAGCGGTAATACCTACTATAAATATACATACCTATAAAGAATAAACAAAAAAACAAAAAATATTTAAATTTTAAATATTGTAACTAATGATTATGATATTGTTATTTTATTGTTTTAAATAATCACTAAATAAATAAATATAGAATATGATTATCTATATCTAACAATCACTTAGTAAGATATTTTATTTCTTTATATAAAACAATATGAATAAACATTGAATCAATTTGATTCGTTAAAACCACGATATTGATTGAAAAAAATACTGTTTAAAACTACAAACATTTATGTACATACATACATACATACATACATATATACATATATCTCGTGCGTCTTATTTCCAAGAAAGCATTTTCATCACAATAAGCTTCCTATAAACATGTGATTTTCTTTTAAAATATTTAATAAAGCCGACTTTTTTTATTAATTTAGAACCGAATACGCAGAATTTATTAAGCAAACATTTATAAAAATATATTTACGGTGGGCTCGTCCGGGATTTGAACCCGGGACCTCTCGCACCCGAAGCGAGAATCATACCCCTAGACCAACGAGCCGATACTTAGGGGATGTAAAATAAGGATCAGTTCTAACTACATCTCATACGCCATGAAATAAAATAGAAAAATATTGTACATAAGGATTAAAATACGTAGGTAGACATTGTTTCTATTTTTAAATTTAATATTTCTGGATGAAGATACTCTTTATGAAAAGATAGGTACAATAAAACTATTCTAATAGAAAGTTAAAGTATTTGTTGGCCGCTATTACCGAAACAGAATATGTTTTTAATAGTGCCAATATAGAAATAGGTGTTTTAGAATTACTAAAAAAATAAAATTTTGCCAGATTTACCTCGTTAAGGCTCTATGTTAATGGAAATAACGGCCAAAATCTTAAAAGTGAAGTACTACAACTAGCCGTTATAAACTCATGCAAGAAACGTGAATTATAGAAATTCAGTGGTTGTGTCGAGGTGCCACTCATCTACATATAAGTAGATATTAAAATAAGTAAAAATATGTGTGTGCAAAAACTTAGTATCAGTCACATTAAACATATATAAAATATATAATAGTAATTGTAAAGTTTAGCATATAGTTTTTGAACGTGGCAGCCACGTCCTTAATTATTTAAGAGCTTTACGAATGAGTTTCAAGCGTAATTTTATATTTAAAGAAAAACGTGAATGTGGGGTTGTAAGTGACAACCAGGACATTACTGAAAATAAGGCATTGAGAAGTGAAAGTGTCATAGGTAAATGTTAAAGTGTAGGTAATTCTGGCAAAATCACCTCGGGCGGAGGCTCCATGTCGTCGTCCGGTGGCGGCGGGTCTCCAGCGCGCCACGCGCGCCCGCTCCTGCCCCACACAACATTTCGTCATACAACTTACATCAACGATGACAAACAAACAAAACACCTATGCTAAAATATAAAGCATTCACAGCATTTCAATTATCGTACCTATGACCTATAATATATATAACGTTTCCGTCTTCGCGTATCTTTCGTCATAAGTTGATTGTTTAGTCTAATGTTTATGATTATCATTGATGATCTTAAACTAGTTTTATTTATTTACTTTGTAAACAACTTAAAGTAATAAAAATATAATCGACATTTGAGTAAAAACTTTATGGGCAGTTAATTCTAAAGAACTCTTTACGTATGCAAGATAGTCGTATAAAACCGCTGGTGACAGTAAATGTGAATGTTTATATGTCTATAAAACAATCGATTCCGGAGCTGAATAAAAGTATTGGCGATGAGCCAATAGCAATCGTATCCCGCTAGAAGCAAGACGTAAGAAAGTAATTATGATCTTAACAGTAAACAAAATTAAATATTTTTCCTTAAATAAATTTGAACCATTTAATTTATAGAATTTCATAATAACTCAATAAATTCGTCATTATTTGTAAAATTGCCGCTGGCATATTAAATTGATTTAATGTTCGCGTTTCATATAATTTGTAAACGTCCCTAAATATTTGCGGTCACCTGTAAGCTTGGTCGTGGGGCGGGAGACCCAAGCCGGAGTCTTCGGAGGGCGAGCGGTGGTCGACCACGAGAGGCACTTCTGCCGGCGCCTCCTACAACAACAATCTCTACCTCACCCTAATATTTATAGTAAATTTTGCACTGATGTTGGATACTCATAACAGAGTCTACGTCTTAGATTTTGTAATTCCTTAATACTTCATGAGCTTAATTTTCAACTAACATTTTTATATATTTTTGCCTTTAGAAAATAATAAAATGAATTTATTCAATGTTTTCCTATATAAGTATAATATATTTATATTGACGTAAATGTTCGTTTTTGTTTATTGATCATGTCATGATGAATGTGAAACTTTTGTAGAACCTACCCATATATTCTATATATTTCTATTTTTACACAAAGCTTTCAACAACAACATAATATTACACAATTACATTTTACACATCAATTATGCTTTATATGCAACAAAATACAAATATCTAATATCATAAGGCTGTAACGTAACACCTGCAACGTGATAGGATGTAAATAAAACTTAATGAAACTTATTTCTACAGTTCTTTTTTTTATATTTAAAAAAATACCTTATCAATACGGCCCCATATGCACTACCTATTAATTTTTGTGAGATAAACTATATACTCTTGAACACAATAGTGTTCTAATTTCAAATCACTGTCAAAATATCGAATGTACACCACACTTCTAAGTTCTAAATCATTATATAATAATAGGTTGATGTACTTTTACATATTTAGAGTTGACACTATAGATAACATGAGTGTTATTAAAATTTGGAAATTAATAATAAATTATAAAACATTTATTGGTACATCCTATCACGTCACAATAAGAGCATGCAACGTATAGACACGCGTGCAGCAAAAGCACTTACCGGATCGTGAAGTTCGTGCATAGTCGACGACGGCAGCATGTGTCTCTCACTCGCCCGCTACAAACAATTCCAAGCCTCAGGTATGTACACGCCATTAATACACTAATGTTTATCAGATTTAATCTCAGATAGAACTTAGATGAATTTCCTAATTTCCTAATGTGCATGTAGAGTGTAGACTAATGCGTATTGCAATTTTTGATATGTAACCATATTTGAATACATTTTAAAACATCGGATTATGTTATCGAATTTAGGAGGTAATCTTAATCATAATAGTATAATACAAAAGTTTCATTATTTATATTTGTAGGTTTTTAATGATTCTATAATGAAAACTCAATCAACAAAATGTCGCTTGGAAGTTGGAAGTATCACAATAATTTAATTTCGCGCCTCGATAATGAAATACATTTTTTTTTATTTTTCTTTTAATAAAGGTACTAGGAATACCTTATTCAGCATCAAATGTTTTAGTAAAATTAGAAACTTTTTATAGCAAATTTAATAATAAAATAAGCTTTAGTTAAGTTTAATTACTACTTTAGGAAAATAAAGACGGTTAGGGGCATAATTAATAATAAAATAATATCTACTTGTAATTATAAGAAACTTCAAACTTCAAAATTTTGTGGTAAGCGTCGTATAATTGTTAAGATATATGTAAATGAATAAATACTTATAATATTATTTAAAATTCAAGAGTCAGAATAATTTTAAAATATCATTTTAAGGTTATAATGTTGACTAGGGACTGTTTATTATTCCAGTAAAATAAACACCTTGAAAATCCAAGCGCATTTATGTATCTGAGAGCACAAAATTCTAATTAGAGCTTGCAGGCTAAAAGAGATAAACAGAATTTGGCTTAATGGGTACAGCTAATAAATTTAAAATAACATGACCAAAAATTAAATCTTGTTATTATTATTGTCGATTTTATATCTTTAAATATTTTAAGTATAATTTTAAAATAAAATTTTTATTAAAATTTAAAAATTCATACGTAGGTATATGAATCGTTTCATTAGTTCACAAAATTAACCATAAACGGCAATATGCGTGTTTTTTTATACAATAGCTTATATCGTTTTAAAATTGGAAAAAAATAAATCAAGTTCTCTGTTCTATAGTCTATGGCTAAGGTTTAGCAAATTTTTACAGCGCAACTTTTAATTAATAAAATTATAAGGATGTTTAACGCGTTTTATTTTGAGTCCCGGGACGCCATCCATCACATAGCTAAGAACAAAATTTATGCAAATAATATAATACACCTACAAATATAAAAACATGATTCAGTTTTTAGTCATTTGAGAATACATAATATGTTTCTTTTTAAATATTCTAGACAAGTAGTTTTTTTCTTTCAATAATCTTATTGAAGATGTTGGAAAATTCACCTGTTTATATTATTACACTAAAGTAAATGTAGAATATAAAAATGTAGCGCCCGTTTTTTTTTAATATTATTAAATACCAGTTTTTAACAACTGCTAGCTAATATTAATACAAAGTATATTAACTAGACTCTACCTCCGTTGATATTTATAAAATATGTATATATATTTAAGTAATCTATACTAATATTATAAAGAGGTAAAGTTTGTGAGTTTGTGACTTTGTGACATTGTAGGGGGTAATCTCTGGATCTACTGAACCAATTTAGATGAAATTTGGTAAAAAAGATAGTTTGAGTTACCCTGGAAAGGACATAGGATATTTTTTATCCCAGAAATCATCCTTTAAGGGGGGTGAGAATGGGGATGAAAGTTTGTGTGAGGAATCAAGCTATAATATGCTTGCACGCTACAATACAAAACGATATAGTTATTAGGGTAAATTTTTGTATAAACCTATGTACAATGCCACAAGTTGTCATACGTACCTACACAGTTTTGTTCTTAGAAATATTTTCTTTCAGTTGAACTAAATGACAAAGGATTTAGGTACGTTACTATATAAATATTTTAGCTTAGTAATTTGCGTTCATAGAAATATGATTATTCATTCATTCATGACTACATAGAAATATTATAGTCATATTTCTATGAAAGAAAATAGTCATATTTCAATGTTGATAGTTGAAAACCTTTCGTCTCACTTACAGATGAGAAAAGCGGCATTGTTTTTAGCCACTTTTACTTCACAAAAACATTCAATTAGATAATTAAATTAAATGAATCAGCTCATACCAATAAGATTTCATAACATATGTACAATGTACATATGTAACCTAAACTGCATGCTTAAGCATAATCTCAATAACTAACGGACTAAGACTCAGTGACCAAGTCTAACTTAAGACCATTAAGAGTTTCTGACAAATTGTTTATCAGAAAGTCAGAAAACAGTATACGTAAAAATAAAAGACAAAAACAAAACAACATCCTTCGTCTACAATTAATTAGATTATACAGTTCACGAAAACTACTAAGTCGCAAGTTCTTTTGTGTTATGTTACAAAAAAATTATTATCTTATTACTAATTATTATTAACAAACATATATATATGTATTTATTAGGAGTTTCTACTGAATGATAAATTGAAATAGAGGTTATGTAACATGCCCAGCATACTAAAAATTATTAAAAAAATTTTTTTTTGTAGTTTTATCAAAATAATATGAGGATAATTCAATATCAAAAAATTACGTCACACCACTGTAAATTATTTACTTGGCTATTTAGTGCACTTATTAATTTACATGAGTTGTTTCTATTCCATCCATGTTTACTTTCATCTGAATCCTAAGTATATAATAATATTTATTGCCGGACAGTGATATATGTAAAGAATATCATTGTAGCCGTACATCATTTGCAATGATGTCATGATGTTAGAATGATTCATATCATTCCCATACTGCTTAACACTTGCCATATAAGTATGTATACCTTGACACCTTATATCTGTATTACTTATAAGCTTAGATATCAAAGTCTTTTATTAAACAAAAATTAATAAACGGAATTATTGCTCATTAGTCCAGGTGTGCTAATTAAGTGGTGGAGGGGCTTAGTAGTGCCCGGCAATACAGCCGGGCGCGAAGCCAAGAAACGCACAGGGAGGTGGCCCACTTCGGTGGGCGGAGGGAGGTGGCCCTCTTCGGAGGGTGGTGTACCATGCGGGCTGCTCCTGGTACTTCTCTGGTAGCAGAGTGGACCTTGGAGCAACCCCATGTTTGTTGTGGTCTGCTTCGGCAGACCTGCCGTCGGGGCGTCGTAATTGAATGCGTAAGCGATCCTGCGACGCGCCATTAAGACGGGGGAAGGCTTTGTTGGGTTTTAGTGAGTAGTACTGGCTTTGCCAGTGAGTCCCACACCTCGTGCGTAAATGCATTTTCCAACGTTAAAAAAATGTGTGCTAATTCGATAAGAATAACTGTCAATTTGAAAACATGCAATAATTGCACAAGTTTTCTCGTCTTGTATTTTAATAAAAGTAGGTAGTATATATTATTTTTCATTTAATAGAATAAATGGGTATAAAAATAAAACGTGATATAAATATAAGAACACACCTATACGCTGTGTTTCACTTTTTTTATTTAAGTTTAGATTAAGGTTTATTAAATGTATACCTTTACGTGTGGATCAGGTCCGTCTTCTGGTCGGCGGTACACAAGTTCGTCGAAACGCGGCCGGTCCTCGGGTAGCAGAAATTCCCGGATTTCCGTCAAAAGCGAATACTGGCAACAATAAAAACATGTTTTATTATGATTATAAACAAAAATATTTTCATGATATTTCTAAAATTTGTTTACATTGAAGTAACATTTTATTCTGATAATCAAAGTGTTATTGACATTAAGATATAATTATCAAAAGTTTATTTTATTTACATTGATATATAAAAACGTAGATACACATTTCCTAACAAATATCTCTTCAAAAGATGGCGTCGACAACGTTTGACGTTAAATCAAACCAAAGAATAAAATTTTAATAATAAAAATATTAACTAAAGAATAAAAATTCGAACTTACGTACACCACATAAAGTACTTTTTTAAGCGAAACAATGTGCGTTTTAATTTTGTCCTCCGGAAAACAATGAACAAAAGAGATTAGAAGAAAAGGTCATAATTTCGAATTGTGCGCTCCTTTTTGAGGACATTTTTGAGACGCTAATTGTGTATGTTGAGTTTTTATATATCAATGGTTATCTACTTATTTTATATAAAAACACATTATTTTACATAATAACAAAATCTAATATTACAATTTCCATTGTTGTCTCTTATCTGTTAGACATTGTTATATTATACAATTATATTTTATAAGCTGCTGCTGAAAATTCCGTTATTATTTTTACTAAAATTGTACCCTACAAAAAGATGGCGGAAAAATTGTAGATAGCTGTAGCGTAATAATCGAGAGAGATTTTTAGATAAACTCTTGGTTAAATTGAAATTTCAAGAAAAATTATCTAATGAAATGGTGGCAGCTGTTTCATAGCACACGCTTACCAAAAGTTGGAAAAACTTATATCAATTTGTGTTTTAATAAGCCATTTCCTGAAGTAACAGCGGACTCATAATTTTTTGAAAGTAATTTATTGTTGACCATATTACAACCGTAACTTCCGCTTATCAGACTTAGAGATTACACTTTTGTATCGGATAATATAAAAGTGCATAATATAAAAGTTTTAAAATGAATTTGGTTTCGCATTATATTAAATTGTTAATTTCATCAGGAATTAAACTTTTATTTTCTAAAACTGGAATAAACGAAAAGTGGAGGAATAATTTTAAAACGTTTTTTGCGATCTTGAAATATCATAAATACAAATTGCCTATTCGCAATTTGCTAAATAAAATGCTATGTAAGAATATAATTGTATATAGGTACGTATTTTTACTGTAAGAGTGTTTTATTCGTAGATGCGTCTGTAATTAGGTTCATTTTTTATAATATCTTTAACTATCTGTTCCTTTCTATATATCTTGTTAATAATCAGTTAATCAGGATATACTTGTCTTTTAACGAAAGTGACATAAACGTATTAAAAATATTTTTGAAATACTAGAGTTGTTCTATGTTTTTCATTAGAGCTGTACTGTAAGTTATAATTTGAATATATTAAAACTGAATTTTGATTAGCACTATAAATTAGTTTAGAACTATAAGTTTTTTAATGACTTACTTTTTGTGGTGTGTCAAGCAAGTCCCTCAATACTGTAAGAAAGGCATCTGATGTTAAACGCCGTGAAGCGTATTCTTCCATGTAGTATGCAAGAGCGGGAATGTCACTTTGAGGTAGCAAAGATTTCGCCTTTTGCTCTACAGCCGTCGCTGCCGCGCCTCTTCGCTTACCCCAACCGCTTATTCTGTGAGTTTTTTTATTTTAAATTATTAACATAAAATGTCAAAGGTATTTTATAAATTAAATAGATATAAATAGTTATTAGCCAGCCCTAGCCATGTAAATTTTTATTGTTTTATTTCATGGATTTTCCGATGTTTTAATAGTTATTCTGATATTCGGGGTAGAGACAAATCAAACAAATAAAAGATCATAAAAATCGGTCCAGTCGTTGTTGAGTTATAAATGATGTAACTAACCCGACTTTGTTTAATACATAAGTTTTGTAAAAGGTTGAAATTCGCAAGAATAACAAGATATTTATGAGTCTAAAAGCTTTCATAGCTACTGTTGTTGTATTTATCTTATTTTCCGAGAATTTTCAGGTCTAGGTATATATTTTTCAATTATTACCCTTCATGGAACAAAAAATATAAAAAACATCACATAGTTCTTGTAAACAGAAAGCTGACTCACAGGTTTGTGTAGGAAATATTTTTTACATGTAATAAATAGCGCCAACCGTAATAAACAATAGCTGTTTATAGCCAGAATCTTCATTGATATAAAATTGTATATTTGATGACTAAGACAGAACTGCGTAGAAATTGCCGAACTTAATGTCTGCTCTATTAAGACTTACAATAGAAAAATTATTGTCGTATACAAAACAACAACATACTTATAGTATTCAAGTAATCATAATTACTTGCACATAACAAAACATATACATCTCATGTTTATTTATATGCATAGCTTTGCTACATTATTAATAATTTTACGACACGTTTGGCTCAGTTTGTAGTGACCCTACTTGCATTGCTAGCGGTCGCGGGTTCGAGTCCCGCTGGGGGGATTCATTCGTGTGATGAGCACGAATGTTCATACTCCAGTCATGGTTGTTTCTATTTATAATATGTATGTATTTAAAGTGTATTTATACATATTATATTTACATATAAGATTTATAGTGTATCAATTATCTGGTATCCATAACTAAAGCCTCGTAGCTTACCATGAAACTGGATGGTGCTGTGTGTTAATGTCTTAACATATTTATTTATTTTATTATTTAATTAGTTTTGCTCTGGGGCTTCATCCGCGCAAATGGATAACGCAAAAATGTTCTTAGTACCAATTTTAACGCATGGTTATTAGGGTTAAGCTGTATTGAAGACGATGCGTTGTAGCGCCATCTAGTGGCGAATTATAGTAAATTGGAATACATAGTATAAAATTCTTCTCCATGATAATATCCTTACATACATTACACACATTAAATGTATGTGTCAAAATAATTTTAATCAAAAATAATAAATAACGATTTTTTTATATGTATATGTAGATAATTACTAAAGCATATATCTTATAATAAAAATAATATGAATTTCGTGTTTAAAACCATACTTTTTTATAATTAACTGGTAAAAGTGCTGTGAATCTTAAAAAACGACATGTCAGCTCTCAAAAGATAAAGTTATGTAAATATATTCTGATGGTATATCACGTGCGAACATGAAAGACGACTCTATGTGAACATAAATGTTACAATTGCATGTTTCATGCAAAATTCTGTAAAGGAAAATAACCTTCAAAAGTAAGCAAATATTTTTAAAACTTGTACAATATAATGCTTAATATTATAAATCCTCATCTAGTATAGGCAAATAACTTATTATTCTCATACAATACTTATATTGTTATGAATCATCACCTAGTAACAAAGTACTTTCAGTCGATCGTCGAGCCGTATATTTATCGAATAAGGGCAAAAGGCAGTGCTGTGTGCTTTATCTGCCTACTTAAAAATATAGCATTTATGCATAAATAGTTCTTAAATCCAATAAAAGATTTAAATAAAATGATTTTATATAAAATCGACCCTTGAGCAAAATAACGTTTTTACTTTCTTTATTTCACCATTTCAATGTTTCACAGAAATTATATCAGTAGATATATTAAATATAAATCCTGACGCTACGACGTAGTCGTAAATAACTAGGTATATGAGCGTTACCGTGTTATTTAAATATTATGAAAGCACTGAAAATACGCAATCTAATTGAGTTAAAATATGTAGAAATGTGATCATATTACTTTTTTCTAGCGAATAGGCTTTGCGTCAAGGACCAAATCTAAAAACGATCATAAACTAGCATTTACGAAGAAAGCTTTAAAACATAGTAATAACATATCATTTGAATTTAGAAATAAAATTAAACAAAGAGAAATGAACTCATATTAATTAAATCATTGTAAGGAGTCCATTAGTGTCCTAATATCTTTTAATTAGTTATATTAATTTGCGATTCACAAGACGAGAAATGATCAATGATTAAAATATCATGTAATAGTGTATTAAAATAATAAGTTAGTCGTTTGCATAACATTATCTAAAAAATAGTATTAACTTATCGATTTACATATATTTACTTAAACTTGATATGTATATTAGTTCTCCCAATTTTCGTAAAATTGCAGCTAATTAAAAAAATAATAGAATTAAAATATTTTTTTTTATTTTTAATTAAAGATTGTATAATGCACCTGTACATGTAACCTGTCTGAAGCAGTAAATCAGCTGTCCTTTAGACATATATTTACTTTACCTTTCAATCTAGGCGGGTAAAGTCATCGTTATTTTTTTTTAGTTTTAAATAACTACTAACAAACCTTGGTGCATTATCTCGCTCTCCGAACGCTGTACACGCGTGAGGCACTTTTCCTACATCTCGTACAAGTAGAGACATTCGCTTGTGATATTTGAGTTGTGCGACCGCTTCGTCATGAGTCACGTCCACGAACGATTGCCCATTCACTTCAAGAATTTGATCACCCACCTAATAAGAAAGCCTTGAGTAAATGAAATTGTATTTTAAATCCATATACTACATATTTAATTCTGTAGTCCATAATAGAAGAACATAATGAAAGTAAGAGTAAGCAAAGTATCTAAATGTCTAAAAATAATGCCTGTAATATTGGAAACAAAATTCTTTATATTGAGGAAATTTTTCTGAAAGAATCATGGTAATCGCGCGTATTGCCAGTTACCAAACTCATAATATAAATCTTCTGCCGCACCTCGCCGTTACCTTTAAACATCGACAATATCCTTCGAAAAATATGTGTTTACAAATTCTTTTATTTATGTAAGCATTCAGTTTTTTGATTATGTTATATGTATATATAAGCTGTACATTTAAATCGTTGAAACTTTAGTTTGTGTGTGCAATGACAATGTAAATATTTTAAGTGTGCAAGTTTAGCCGCGGGAATGAGTTGATTAATTATACCTACTATCTGTTAATTATTACAATTATACTAACTGAAAAGTCATTTTTTTTAATTTAACTAAACTTTGATTAAGTTTTTTAACATTTATATTTTATTATCTCTTGCTCCTACTTTTATTTTAGAAAAATATTATAGTACATGTGCAAAACGTACTTTTATCTTAAAGGCTAGCATGATCACCCTAAATAAAGTTTATGTATTACGTAACGTCTCTTTGTCATGATCTATCCTTTGTACGAAAAAATTAGCTTATCAAGCTCCAATAACCGTCACTGACCCAGTTTCACATGAAGAATAAAAGAAACTTCATGCCTTTTAAACGAGCTATTACTATTTATGAAGTTCATTGTTTGTGGTTGTTTTTTTTTGTCTATAAAGTTCTAACGTTGATGATAGCCATTGATCTTTTGTTAAACATTCTAAAGTTTCTTTTCGCATTTGAACTACATATTTTCATTTAGAGCTAAAGTTTTTTTGGGTATTTCTACGAGATTGCGTTCTTCATCTGATTAATCTGGCCAAAAAATATTTTCATTTTTGGCTATATTCAACATACTCTTATGATTAAAGACATGCCAAATTATTTGGTTGAAGGACGCAATCTCGGAGAAATACCCTTTTATAATATAGTAATCATTTTGTACCTTTCAGAAATACCAAATATGCTTGTTGTTCTAGCGAAGCATGTTTAGCTCACATTAACTTCAGCCGATATAAATTCTAAAGCCTCTTAATAGTGCATTATTTATGCATTCATTGTTTTTAAAAAGGCAATTAGCATAACTTCAATTATTTTAATTAGAAGTTTAATGAATCTGAAAAATGATAATTTTGGACATAATCGTACACTACACTCGAGAATTCTTACATAAATCGTACCATAAGCCCTGATCGCTCTGCTACTGAATCTTTGTCCACGCCAGTGATGTAGATACCAAGATTGTACTCCAGCCCGCCTCTGATCATCAACCCCAAAGACTGACCAGGCTCGATGCAGAGATCCACCTATTCACAGAAAGAACATACATAAGGAAAAACATACAGACAAACACAGAACCACCTTCTTATTAAAGGCCGGTACTAAATGTAGTAGGTAATATTATTTAAATATTCACATAGCTAACAGAAAAAATATTCCGCAATTCCCGCAACAGCTCTATTTTCTTTTAATCTTTTAAATGAGAATTTTATTTTAAATGAGTTTAAATTTACTATGCATTACGTATATATACTACACTATAAATTATAATCTATATGATCTATACATATAATAAAATTCTGAGACAAATCTGTACATTAAACATATTTTGGAAAATCTTATTGAAATAGTCATCGATTATCATTATCGATACAGAGGTCGAATTGATAGTTTTTAGAATTTTTGTTTGTCTGTCTGTCAACCAACCACTGGACAGATTTTGATGAAATTTGGTATGGTGATAGTTGGTTATCCGGGTCAACATATAGTATACTTTTTACTGCGGGAACATATCTCATAGGTATCTGAGAAATCTATACTAAACGTTAAACGCGAGGGTGAGTCGCTAGTACACTATAATGTAATTGACCTTTTCCTCCAATGTTATTTTTATGACGCATAATAAATATTTCAATTCATTATACATTCAACTTTTTTCTTATAATTTTATTTTAATTATGTGTTTTAACACGAGACATTTTCAACACGACACTGAAAAAATACTATTTCATTATAAACTAGCGACCTAAACTTGCTTTGCTCAAGCTAAACATCGACCGCGCCACCTTTAAATATTTTAAGGAAAAGATAACCCAAATATGTAACAAGGGCCAAATGGAACAAAATGTAGGTTTATATTATAAGAAATTCTATCACAAAATCAAATCGATTAGCTTAATAATTATGGGTCTTACAAAAATGAACCGAAAATTGTATTTATCATACATGTTAAGAATTACGTGAGATCAATCAATGCGAATTGGTACCTGGCGACATCGAAGATCAATACTTGCGTGTCTGATCGCCACTGGCGTAATGACAGTGGACTTTTTAACTATTAAAATATTATCGTTGTGAAAAAAAGAAACTAATTAAAGTGAGCGGAAAAATTATATTATTATTATTATTTGACTTTACATTAAACTAACTTTACATAGATTTATAGTAACAAAATGTTAAATGTAATAAAAATTTTAAGAACACAATTTATTTGTACGGCAATATTTCTTTAAAATTCTGTAGATGTAGTAAAAAACTATTCGATCGAGCTTACCAGACCGTCGGTAGTTTACTGCCCTAACGACGTTGTTACCTACCACAGAATAGTGATTAACGTTTTCTCGCCAGTATGTAACTTTGCTAACACTCCAGATTCACAATGTCTTGAACAATCACAAATATAAAACCGAAAATATAGTATTAAAAAAACTAAAAAGCCTTTTTTGATTAATATATGACTCGATGTGATTCGTAAAATGGAGTCATAAGTTTAAATCCAAGCATCTTCCTTACTCTTATCTTTGATAATGTAAGATAGATAGATAATATTATGGAATCAAATTATATCGTCCGGATCTTATATACTTTCCAACTTTGAAATAGATATGACAATTAAAGAACAAACTTCGAAACGCCTTCTAAGAATTGTAGATAATAAAACATGTTAAAGGAAATCTACATTATTTTAAACTAACACTTAAAAACATTTTTGTAATTATATTACACATACCTATATGGTATTTATATATTAAGTATTTATAAATGTTGCCATCCTTCCTTTAGGGGTGAAAGCGAAATATGAGATTATACCTACCAGTATTGTGTTACCTGATATAAATTGAATATAAGTCAGTGCGTAATGGTGCGAACATGACAAAGTAATCCTTTCAACCGCAACTGCTCGAACTGTTCTATAATAATAATTCATCACACAATTCTCGCGTGGGACTTTTAAACGTGCTCTACATATTTATTCTGTCATAGCAAATTTTACAAGGCTGAGTAATTGATTGCTTGAAACATTAGCTTGCAAAAACTTGAAAGAGCATTTTAATTAAAACTTTAATTATATTTTGTGTGAAATATTAATTACTTCATACTTTACTCTTGTTATCTTATAACTTACAGCTCTTTGTTATATATTTTAATTCTTGAAATTAGCATAAAATGGCTATACGAATGAAATGGATATGGATACGTAAATATATTATTATTTCTTTGTAAAGAATATATGAACAACGAAAAGAATTCGAGTATCTACTAGGAAAGGCTGATGGCATTTGAATATAAGCTATAGGAATACGGAATCTCGTACTCTAAACTATGTATGAGATATCTAATAAGCTCTTGGGAGTCATGACCTAGATGCCATCTAATAGAGCATTAAGACGCTTCTTGGATACCTCTAAATACTTCTATTCAATGTTGGAGAAAAATGCCTACGAAGATTTCTGCTTATTTGAATTGTGTATAATAGAACTAAAATAAAATCTAAAAGTTACTTTAAAAAAAGAAAGTTCATGATATTTAAAAAATATTTCGATATTGTAATATTTGATTGTGCAACGAAAACTCAGCTTATTAAGTTTCAAGCCTGGATTTTTTATCTCAGTATTTTAAAAATATCTATTTTAGGAAAAATAAAATGTTTAAGTAAAGAAAAATAAGAATCCGTTATTCATAATTGCTTTAATATACCAACAATTTAAGCTTGATATTAATACTTTGTGAACAGAGGAATATCGGGGAAGGAATTTTAATAGAGACTGTAACTATTCGACCAAAATATTTAATAGAAAGTGTACTAGCGTATTTCAAATAAAATAACATTTAGACGACACGTTTGGCTCAATTTGTAGTGACACTACTTGCCATGCCAGCGGTCGCGGGTTCGAGTCCCGCCAGGGGCATTCATTTGTGTCATGAGCACCAATGTTTGTACTTCTGTTATGGATGTTTATATTTATAATATGTATGTAATTAAAGTTATATATGTATAGGTAGTGCATCAACTATCTGGTATCCATAACTCAAGCCTCGTAGCTTATTATGGAACTGGATGGTGCTATGTGTTGATGTTTGAACATACTTATTTATAACTTCATAGATATTGTATAATGTAAGACAAAAATAATATATCTGAGATAATTAGACGATGTAATAGAACAAAATGCTCTTTCTTATAAGGGTTCGTAGTATTAACTTTAAAAATTAGTAAGAATAAAAATTAACTAACCCTTCGTATACGATCTTTACTTGTTGAGCGTAGGGGTCGCTGTGGTGGTGGCGACGCTGGTCTTCCATATCGATCCATCCAAGAACAGGAGCCTCTTCCCACCAGCGCACCCGCAGTACGCACTACCATAGTTAACTGCCGGCAGGATTTTAACATCTGTTGACAACACAGACTCAAAAATAAATGATACACTATTTTTGACCTACGATTTTGAAAAGTAATTAAACACTAAAAAGTTATTTTTTAGTATATATACAACATTATTAGATCTACTATTAGTCTAACAGTTTTTTTCAAAACATCGACTCAATTGTATCAAATAGGCATATTACATTGCAAAGATAAAACAAAATTAGTACCTATATCTTTAACCGCCGGATAAGGGAGGTTCAGAATCTCATAATTGTATGGAAGAAGAAAAACAAAAGTCATTATGCGAGTTAAACTGGGGGCAAGCGAGTACCACTTATTGCATAAAAGCTTTTTTAAGAAACGGTTCAAGGAATTAATTTAAATGTTATGTTTTCCTTTTTAAATGAAACTCGAACAGTTACTACGTGAAATTAATAATCATTCAAAGGGAGCTTGTAATAAACCTAATTTATATATCGCTCTCATGCTAACAATTTTCTCTATACAATAAAACGACAATCACAATTTTACATTTCTAATATCTAATATTTATTAAGAAAAGTAGAGGAAGGACGAGGTCAGAAGGTTATTACGTTTCACGATTCTATATCTATATACATATAATAAAATTGTAAATAAGCCGAATCTGTACATTAAATATTTTTTGGAAAATCTTATTGAAATACACATTATTATCGATACAGAGGCCGAATCTATAGTTTTTAGAATTTTTTGTCTGTCTGTCTGTCTGTCTGTCTGTCACCGCATCACAGAAAAGCCACGGGAGGGATTTTGATGAAATTTGGTATGGTAATAGCTGGTTATCCGGGTCAACATATAGGATACTTTTTACCGCGGGAAAATGTCTCATTTCTAAGAAAAAACACAATAATGCAATATAAGAGTATACTGACATGTAAAACTTAAGTATTTGGTTTTCGGTCATTTGAACGCGGGCGGAGCCGCGGGCAATGCTAGTCTTCTATAATTGCATAATAATTTGCAAACTATGATTAAAACATTATTTTGCAAATAGGTAATAAAAGTAACATAGGAATATCATAAATGTTTATGCTCATATCGTAAAATTATTGTCGCCATTTGATCCCCGTTAAATTAATTTTATACCACCGTAACGACTAAAATTACGCGGCGCGTTGACTGCGAATTTAGTAAATCGGTTTTATTTACATAAAATATTTATAATATAGGTATCATTTTAGAGGATATTTTATTGATACTGTTATTTGAAATAATTGGTTTGAAACACGTTGAAGTAGAAAGAGAACCTCCTTCAAATACATATATAAAAATAAGTATGAATAAAAACTATTGAATGTAGATCTCTCGGTTGATTAATGAAGAACAACAGACAATGCGTTACTTTTTTATTTTTTTCAACAAAAGCACCTGCAATTATTGTCATAAATCTCTCTCGTTGTTGGCTGGGTTTGTTAAAAGTAAAATGTAATTTTGCCGTATCATATCATTTTTTCCACTGTTAAACTATGAACGAAAATGTAGATAGTCGGCTAAATGAATCCACATATAGCCATATATAAAAAGCTTTGTCGCTCAAACGTGAGCTAAAATCCACGTCGCTTGATTAATGATGCGTAGACAATGCACCGTAGTTTCACTGTATTCTGAACAAAAGCACGAACAGTTGTACCGTTTTATATATACATATATTCGTAAAACTGTAGATTGAAATAGAAAAAATATTTGTTATCTAATCTGCATATTCCGATCCATTTGAATAATAAAATTTTATTTTATAAAGTGATAAAATTCAATATTTTACTACGTCAAAAAGTTTGAAAAATTCTACACGCATATTTAATACACCTATGTAATATGTATGGATAAACAATAATGTTATAATTTAGGGCAGAAACGAAGACGATATTTTCGACCAGTTATGGAAAGTTGAAAAACCTTACTTCCTGTTTTGAATTTACTCCATACTGAATTTCATTTACGTACTTTATGCATAAGCAAAGCATTTATGTTTTGTGAATTGCAAATTCTTGTAGTTCATGTGCACTCGTAGATCAATATAGACGAATGTCTCCATACACATACAGTTCTTAAATATACATAAAACTGGAACCATAATTCTGAAAAGTTTTCAAATAACTTGTAATAATATTAGTCTGGTTTATTTTTCTTCTAAAAGCTCCGCTTTCGACGAAATTAGTATACTTATGTAAAATTCGTTTAGCAAAACAATCCAATGTTTATTAACACAATTCTGTCCAGAAAGCAAAGAGATTCAGAAATACTGTGTTTACTTATAATAATATTGTAATTTGTAGGGAGAAAATTCTTTATGGCACTAAAATGTAAAAAATAACTAACCGGGGCTTTTGATTTAGAATAGATACCTAATCAGATATTTTCGAAGTCGGTGCCAACCGATGCATAGCAAATCTAATATATTTCGATACGTAAAATATATATTTACCTATTACATATTCAAATCTTAAAATATTGTACGCTGACCCCGCCGTTTAGTTATTTTTTACATTTTAGTGCCTGGAAGTCGGTTTTTTTTTAGTTTTTATTTTTTGATTTTAAGTGTAGAAGTAATAAGCAGGTAATTTGTGAGAAGAAAGTTTTTTAATAACATATTTCATTAAACAATTTATTTAAAAAAATAATTTATTGTTGTTACCGATTTCGATAAAACTTATATAGCACCACCTATGAGGTATATATACACTTTGAAGCAAAAAAAATCCAAATCGGTTCATGCGTCTTTGAGTAATCGGTGAACATACATAAAAAAAGATTCTGATGAATTGTGAACCTCCTCCTTTCTGGAAGTCGGTTAATAAGGTCTATTATTGACTAGCGACTTACCCTCGCTTCGCTCGAATACAAATTTAACGAATGAAAACTCGAATACAAACGTTAAATATGTTAATTTGTACCCTGTACCCTGCTTCTAACAATTTTTGTGTGTCATAAAAAAATTGTTTGTAGGATAATTCGGGCGAACCAGTTCTTGTGTCTTCTCATGGGATTGGGAGATTTTCCTTTAGTAAATGTTGAACTCGAGTAATAAGTTGTTACTTAGTACACACAGACATACAAACAAGACATACAGACAAATAGGCAAAAATGTCAACATTAAATTGCCGTAATGATTTAGTTGTCTAGTCACACATCATTTGATGCACCTTTTATGAACAAAATGAAAGCGCCATATAAAAATGGCTTTTTATAGCTTTAAATATATGAAATAAATATATTATTTCCGCATCAATTTACTTTATTACACATCACAAAAAGATATAGTAGGTAATTGTGAACAAGATAACAGTAACACGGAGCATACGAGACCGTGGACGAAAGCTAATAAAGCTATAATAATATAAAGAAAAGTTGTAGCGGAGGATTTTACTATAGCATCAATTCGACAGTACCGGTATATCCTCTCGTTCAGTGTAATAAAATATACGAATGACCTCCAAACACTAAAGTATAGCGAAATAAAATAAAATATAGCAGAAAAGTCTGATAAAGGTTGATGTGAATATTCGACATTTATTACATTAGCATAATGTTTTATTTTATGACAAGCATTTCCCGCGGCTCCGCCCGCGTTCAGGTGACAAAAAACCAAATTCTTAGATTTTACGCATTAGTATACTCTTACATTGCAGTTTTTGTATTTTTTCTCAGAAATGACACATTTTCCCGCGGTAAAAAGTATCCTATATGTTGACTCGGATAACCAACTATCACCATACCAAATTTCATTAAAATCCCTCCAGTGGTTTTTCTGTGATGCGGTAACAGACAGACAGACAGACAGACAAAAATTCTAAAAACTATAGATTCGGCCTCTGTATCGATAATGTTTATTTCAATAAGATTTTCCAAAAAATATTTAATGTACAGATTCGGCTTAGTTACAATTTTATTATATGTATAGATTTTATATCGCTAGCTCATAAGGATATTGTATGTTTTTTTACAAAAAAGCAATAAATCAAAATTATCTTTCTTACACAAAAGATTACACAAAAAATCCTAAAATAGTATTTTATATTATAATTTCATCTCTAGAAAACATGAATAATATTAATTTATAGTAGTATAAAGCGTAGCGTAACTACGCTTTATACTCGTACAAAAATAATTGTTTATGAATGAACTAGTGACTTCTCGCTTCGCTCGGGTGCGTCCCGTTTTCAATAGATAGATACGTTTTAAATAGATAATTATATACTTTAGGAGAAAGACTTATGTTATTGCAGATTTATCTGTAGGCCTTATTACATGCATATACCTTCAATTTTCTAGTACATTGTTTTGATGTATCTTAAGGTCTAGCCAGCGTTGGGCATGTAAATTTCTAAGGACGACTCGATAGAGCCAGTTATTGTAATTTCGCGTGGAAATAAAAGATTTTTCTGTAGTAAAAAGTATCCTAAATGTTGAACCAAGTAATAAGTTATCACTACACAAAATTTAGTTAAAATCGGTCAGGTACTTTTTGCATAAAACGCACACACACAAACAGACAAACAGACAAAAGTTTTAATAACTATTCTTTTGAGGTCTATATTCTGTACACAATACGTTACAGCCATTATTTTTAAAAATTATTTTATGTACAGATTTATAACTGTTTTATTACGAGTATATGTATAAATAAGAATTCAGTGAGTGTATATATGAAAGAAAGAGATAATGAAGGAGATTTATAGGCATCCATATTAAGAACAATAAAAAAAAATTAAAATGACACTATATACACAGCAAAAAACCGTATAACATGTTACTAGCTTTCATATCTATTTGATTAGGCATGTTGAGTCATTTTTGTGAAAGAAAATGAAAGCAGAAGTTATTGAAGCGAAAAATGAAAGCGAATATAACTGAACTTCAGCCATATTTCCCGAAGAAATAAATTATCGCTGTTGATTGCCAAAACAAAGTCTTTTCTTAATCAAAGTAACTTGATAGATGAAACTTGTTTCGTTTATTTGTGATTAGAATTTACAAACATTATGAACACAAACATGGTGTTTGATAAAATAAAACTATCAATCAATGGTTTTTTACTCAATACAAAAATTTGAACAACTATTTTTATATTTTCCTAGTGTTTTTTAAACTTATATTTGACACGGTTTTAATAAATCTTTCGTATTTATTTATGTACGTAAATATATAATACTTAAGAGACATGTATTTTATAATTTTCTTCTGGAAATAAAAGGGTTCCAACATGATTAGAGAATTTTCTATCATATCTAGTGTTACGGTTGCAAAAACTTGTTATAATAAAAACAATATATTCAAAATAAATTTAACTTACTAATTGCTTAAAATTTTTTTTCGTAACCACTATTGTTTTAATTTCTATCCCATCAATGGTATTCTAACTCGGGCCTGTCCCACGTGGATTGCTTAGTGCCACCTTCCCTATATAGACAAACCGAAGGGAAGATATTCTTACATATGTATATAATATATTACGTATATATTGTACGTAAATGTTAAAACCAAAAAATATTTTGCTTAAAACTCAACTTATAATATTCATAATCCAGGGCGGTGTGTGTTGTTCAATTTTCAGGCAAACAGTTAAGAGAACCGTCGAAGCTTGTTAGCCTTAACTGAGCTTGGTCACGAAATAATAACAAAATAGGTAACAATTGGCTTTGTTTATTCCCTTGAATGTCTACAACATAACATTAAACCAATATTAAAATAAGTTGGGGCGAACGGGCAAAACAAACATTTATAATTTTATTATACAAAAACAACTACCTAACCTAACCTATACCATAATATTCAAAAGCACTTGTAATAAGTCTAATTGAATAAAGTTTATTTCATTTCATTTCATACCTATGACTAAGACTCATCATAACTAAGACTGGAGACCATTATTATTGCAGTACTGAATATTAAACCATAGACAGGACTTGGCCAAGGCTGATTTAAAACATCTTTAAGAAGAATTCTGATTATTTATCTTAACTATAATGATTAATTTAAGCTATAAACGCGCGTTAATGAAGCGAGAGCGATAAATTTGGTAAATCTATGTAATTTTCTAATCTATATGTAATTTTGTTTTATATGCTTCATCGAGCATAATTATTATAAGCGCAAAATTTTATATACAGAATAATTAGCTTTAAATGATAGCCATCAGAAAAAAATAGTTCATTTGCCTTTAAATGTGACCAAATAGCACATATAATTTAAATCCAAACTGCTGTAATCGGGCAAGCCCCTGAGTATGGAGTATGGATGAGAATGGAAATGTCATTTCCGTATCCGGACGTTATTTCCGCCCCACATATTATATTTTTACTGCGGCAATTTTTATATTAAATACTTAACAACTTAAATATAACCAACCAATTAGTGTATAAATACTGTCAATTATAACTTTATCAACTTTAACTTAATAGGTAAATTGTATGATTTGGGACGAATCTAGATCACGATTATTAAGTACTTAATACTTTGTATGCATTAATATAACTTAAATAATTTAACGTGGATATTGCACGAGTATATTAATTATTTAATTAACATAATTCTCAGTAGAGCCATTTAACTTGTAAAATTTTGTTATAAAGGGATAGCAGGTTTAAATAAAAAACTAAGGATGACTTGCTCGGAGAAAAACAAAATCGAGGAATACTATTTCAACTATGTTTTACTTTGCTCCTGGTTTAGCTTTCTCATCTATATACTAAAATTTAAGTTGGGTCTGCTATCGAGCTTAAATATTATTATTTAACAATCCTTCTACACTCATATACGCGTAGTATATCTAAAAATCGTTTCGAATTTGTTATTAAAAATTCTTTCTGCACCTAAACAATTCGGCAGCGTTGAGGCACAATAGGGTTTCTTATTACGCAACAAGGAGAAGAAAGTGAACCAAGGAAAGTTCTCAGAAAACTTTTAAAAAATAATTTTAATACTAAACGAATCATGTCAAGTAAAAAAAACGTGTATGTAGAAAGTTACATTGGAAGATGCTAAACAGGTTCATCGAGATCAAATTATTATGCTATTCTATTGCCTTTTACTCACTATGGATATAGCATGAAAACATACAGATATAGTGTATATTCGTACATATGTATATCCATATTTATACTTCCATACTAATATTATAAATGTAATAGTGTTCGTTTGTTTGTCTGTCCATCTTTAACGTCCAAACAGAATGACGGATTTTCGTGATTATTCGTATGGAGATAGTTGGAGGGCTGGAGAGTGACATACTCATAGGTTCGTTTTTATCGCGGGAGATTTTCTAATTCCTACGCAGTGCCGGATTTAACCTTAGCGCCGCCCCTGAGCACTATAAAAAATGCCGCCCTATTATCGAGATTTTGAACAAAATGTTGAATGTTTAAATTTTTTTCATTATTAATTTTATGAAAAAAGCAAAAAAAATAATTTATAAATGATATCAATTTCTCGAAAAATGTACCTAGGTTACTAGTTAATCTTTTCTTATCTCTCTTATTTTGGAAAATAAGAAAATCATTTCCGATAACGCAACAAATTTTTTTCCGCCCTCCGAATTTTGCCGCCCCTAAAAATTTGCCGCCCTGGGCACTAGCCCCGAGCGCCCCTAGTGTAAATCCAGCACTGTTCCTACGGGAAAACACGTAATAATACAATCCAAAAAAATATTTATGATCAGAATTACTTGAAACTTGTTATTAATGCTCTTCTACATAATTAAATAAATACGTGTTTTAGCATTTTTTGAAATTCATCCTATAAGGGGGTGAAATAGGGGCTAAAATTTTGTTGAAACCTACCTTTTTAGAGATTTCTTATAGTTTTAGCATGAGCGAAGCCGCGGGTTCTGCTAGTTGTATATAATTACTAATGACTAAGAATAATTTCGACTTAGTCCACATTGAATTACAAAGTAAAAAAAGAATCGTACAATTTCAAACGCGCAGAGACAAAGAACTTCGTAGCCTTCTATTATATATTAATATTATTATACGTGGGAAGATTATACAAAGTTCCATTGTTACTATAAGATATTCCTAATATTTTTCCAAATACTAACGTATGATCACGCTTATTTACTTTAATAGTTATTAAATTTTTCATATAATAAAAAAACTTTTTGCTAAAGCTCGTAGGCATTAACTACTGGCTAATAATATCTGTGTCAAACGTATTATTTCTTTTAGTATATGCCTATTGAATTATGAATGCTCTAATACCGTTTTTTGTCTTTATAATATAACGCTATCAGTACCGATTCGGCATCAGCCATATTTTGTAGTAAACTCGATTCTGATCTCTCAAAATAGAGAACAGAAAACAAATGTTCTTAAGGTATAGTTAATAGATAAGCGAGCAATTTGTAATGAGCAAAGTACCAGAAAATAACACATACATATATGTAATATTAAACTAATTTAAGCAATATACATACAAACATAAAATATATCTACATATATAGACGACACGTTTGGCTCAGTTTGTAGTACCCTACTTGCTGTGCCTGAGGTCACGGATTCGAGTCCCGCCGAGGGCATTCATTTCTGATATGCGCACGAATGTTTGTACTCCAGTGTTTATATTTATATTATGTATGTATTTAAAGTTATATATGTATAGTGTATCAACTAACTGATATCCATAACACAAGCCTCGTAGCTTACAATGGAACTAGATGGTACTGTGTGTTAATGTCCCAATATATTTATTTATCCTATGGAAAATCTAATGGATGGAAAAAAAACTGGCCATTAAGCTTTTATTATTGTATTCAGTCAGACGGGTCCAAAACCATTTTATGTTACGCTCATAATTACCGGAGATACCATTCAGAAGCGGCTTAGAGCGCCTCCGCGCTAAGTGGAGTCATTTGGCCTTGCCTCAGAAAAACATGCCAACGGCAACAGGTTTTAAATACACTATAGAATTTATTTTCACTATATTTTTATCAAAATATTTTTCTGTAGACTCTACATTCCGTGTTAGCTATTCAATATTTTAAGATAAACTAGTTCATATTTACATCTTTATGTGTTAAAAAAGTAGATTAGTACTGATATTAATTTAAACATGTACCTAGCAAATAAAATAGATTGTTTCAATTAATTCTTAGTAAACTTAACTCTGCTTGTCAAGAGTCAGGTTTTCGTGTCAAAATTCAGTATGCAACAGTATCACTGATCACTGCAAATTTACGATTGGTAAATTATCGTATAAATAATATAAAACGTCACAAATAGGTATGAAACAGAAATAGCCGGGTTAAGGTCAAACGTCGAACAAAACGGTTAATTTATATCGGGTGTACAAAGACACGATTTTAATATGAAATTGCACGCGAAACCTAACAGTGCAATCTTAAGACGTAGGTTCGTAAATCAATTATGCCACACAGAATCTTCATAAAATAAAAGCAACTATCAAATTTTATAATAACTTACAAGTTTTTGAAATAGCAAATTATCTTGGAATTATAATTACAGAACTGTGACTGTTGAACTAATAACTGAAACTATAACTGAAGAGTATTTTTATCCACTCCAGCTTAAGTAAAAAGATTATTTTAGGTATACTCATTTTTTCTATTTTGTTCTCTTATCAACGTAAATACACCAAAAATAAACCATTAATACTTATAGATGTATATTCGTCTCAGGTTAATTTTGTAATTTTGGTAGAAGCTTATGTCAATCCCTTCGTTATATAATGTTTGGCAAAGTAATAAACAATGTGTAATCTTACCTTAAGAGCATCCTCATGAGATATCCCTGAGAAGGGTGTCCCATTGACTTGCAGAATGGAATCCCCAGGGCGAAGCCCTGCTCGTTCCGCCACTGAACCTTCTTCCACTCTTGATATATATACACCGACACCTAGGTAAAAAAATATGACTAGCGTAATATTTAGAATTTGTTAGCAAAATAATTAATAATTAATTTTTGTATAGTATTATAAGAGAATTCAGTGCCAAGAGGCAAGAGCTACCACGGTCTTTACAGACCTCATTTCCATTCATAAATTAAGAATAATGAAATACGATTGGATTTTTAAATAAAAAGACTGCGGTGGTTGTAAGTTGTAACTCAAAATGTAGAATGTTTGGTTATTTATTGTTGTTGTATGTTTTATAATCTTTTATATATCTAAATAAGTAAAGACAATACAATTCAGTATACCTTTTTGTCTCATTTGTTTGTCCACCGATTTTCTTTGTTTTTTGTTTAGTAGATATAGACGAACTTCAATTATATTATCAATAAAAAAATATTATGGTCGAATACTAGTTGTATTAGTTACACTTAAGGTAAAGTTGCCGTGAAAAAAACTAAAACATAAATTAAAACTCCGAAGCATATACATATTTAAGTGGTATACGCGGTATACGAAGTATGGTGCACGAAGCATTATATATTTATGTACAGTTACAGTAGATATATGTATACAATTTGTGGAACAGAATGTGTGTAGTGAGAAATGGCAACATTAATTTGTAAATCTATGCATATCACAAATGTACCCAGCTCACAATTGCATTTATTCGTCATCGATAAGTGAAGCTCTTGTAGATATAAATACTACAAATCTATAACTAAACACCATTGATATACAAAAACTCAAGCTACACATTGGCGTCTCAAAAGTGTCCTCAAAAAGAAGCGCTCAATTCGAAATTAAGCACTTTTTTCAAATTCTTTTGTTCAATGCTTTTTGGACAAAGAAATTAAAATGCACGTTATTTGTTTAAAAAAGTACTTTATACGGTGTGCGTTAATTTTAATTTGTGTTTAGATAATAGGAACTTTAGATTTTTTTTATTTTATTCTTTGGTTTGACTTAACGTCACATATCGACGCCACTTTTTGAAGAGATATTTGTTAGTAAATGTGTATGTATGTTTTTATATATATATATATCTATGCTAAGCACAAAATATTTCACTATTGCAAAAAAGCAGCAGAAAAGAAGAAATAAAAGAAGTTATTGCAACAAATAAAATAAAAAGCTAATGTATGTAATATTTTATTGAACATAAATAGCATTTCCCTGATAAATTAAAGACATGAAGACGCGTATTCAAACATTTTCAACAGCGTAATTCTTCCTACTTGGCCCATAAACGCTGATAGATTAGTGTTTTGTGGAGAGTGATAGATCACTGATTACAAAGCTCTCTTAAGCGCTCCTACTATTTATATAGCTCTTATAGGAACGCCGGTCGATAGCCTGAGCTTTTCGCGTAGCACGACCCACGCAAATTGATGTTTTATAGCTTAACATAAATCTATTGATATGTATGTCGTTGATTAAGCTTATTTCCAACAAATTACATTTATCTGCTGAAAATAATAAGAATTAATTTAATAAGAGAAACTAACGCTTGTAAGTATATCTGTACATTAAACCGCAAAAATTCGATTAAATGTATATACCATTTTTCTTATAAATGAATTAAAGTATATTTAGACTATCAGAATAACTATCAACTTGAAAAGTAAGCTAAGTAAAACCTAATTATATTTAATTGTAACAAATACGAGAATATGCAAAAAAAAAGAAAAAAAAAAACTACGGAAACATCAATAGAAGGCCGTTAAATGTAGGGTTTTTATCTAGTAAAACTCAGTCTATGTACTAACATTTACCTGCTTCCTTGCCGCCCTTGACGCAGATCCCGAAACCATGCGAGTCTGCGGGGTCTCGGCTCATGGTGACTGTACGCGTGGTGGGCTCCGCCGGCGGCGGCGCTGCCCCACCCGACGAGTATGGCCGCTCTCTCTCTCTTTCGCCTCGGTATATGGCCTACGAATACATTTTATCTTTATATTTTTTAAACCTATCATATATATAGTACATAATATATAAACAACGCAAAACATGTCGATAACTAGGTTTTTTTTATTTAAGGTTAAATTGTTATTTTTATAGATATATACTCCATCCCCATGTTTAATTAAGGGATGATTTTCGGGATAAAAAGTATGTTATGTCCTTCCCAGGATCTCAAACTATCTTCTTAACAAATTTGACCTAAATCGGTTCAGTAGATACAGAGATTACCCCCTACAACGTCACAAACTCACAAACTTTACCTCTTTATAATATTAGTATAGAAATCTGTTTAACCTTACACTAATAATATATTATATGCATGTTTTAACACTATTGATTTCTAGTTAATCTTGGTGTATAAATATTAAAGTAGTGACCTACTCTCAAGACTACAAAATTAAACTTGAATGAAACAGTAAAATGAGGTAAGTACGCAAAGTAAGTTGTTTTCTGTCGCTCTTTTTTAAAATAGTGCCAAGAGTTTTTCCTGTGCCAGATAGGAACTTCACAATACACAACTGCAACTAAAACGTGCTTCCATTTGTTTGTAAAGTCCAAATGAAACAGTTCTAAATCTCTTTTCCAACGGAAATCGCAAACTATCGTGGAGTGAAAATTGCTATCTAGCTCCAGCATCTGAAAACAGCGTACTAAGTTTAAGAATGTTTACAAAGCTATTTACTCAGATGCTCGTATTTTGACTAAATCTTAAGTTAAATTCAAAGTTATTTCTGTTTGACTTCTCAATTACTTCCTATCATCTACAAGACAAATTGAAGTAATTTATCTATCTTTATCGTTGAGTCGGAAAGTTGTGTCATTTAAACTTTGAGAAAGAAAGACTACAATGTAGTAACGATACTAATCTATATATACTCACGGGGTAAAAGTTTGCACTTACATTTAAGTAAGTTTCATATGTACCGTTATACTATATAATATTTTAACGGTTATATCCAGAATAATAAATATTATATTAGCCAATTGTGCGCCGCCTATATACTTTGATGGTTGATTCAGAAACTGTCATGAAAATTTCGACAGCAAAAGTACAAAGCTTCACTATCATATTATGTGTGTATGTGTCTGTGTATATTCAACCCTTTTTAACGTCCCACTGCTAGCCACGGGCCTCCCTCAATATGAGGCGGATCGGGCCATAATCCACCACGCTGGCTAAGTGCGGGTTAGCGGGTTTGAAGAATATTCACATAGAAATGTTCCGTAAATAGATGGTATATTCAGGAGTTTCAAAACAACTTATCATAAGATATGAAAGAATCTCTATATTTCAATGTATTTTTAGTATTGTAGATTGAGTGACTTATTCGTACCTCCGCTGACCGCTCGCTTAGAAGGCATAGGCACGTCAGTAAAAAAATTGTGAGCCATTATATAGGCTATTTCCATTTCATAGCATGGGATATGTTAATTCAAGATTTCATTTAATTGAAAGTACTATAACTACTAACTGAATTTTGAATTTTCATTTTTGTAAGTAGTAGAGCATGTCTCAGTGAGGCTACCTATATTTATCTGATAAACTTTATAAACTTATGCTCTATATATGGACTAAATCCTTTTGATCAACAAGTGATCTCTCGCAGTTATCTTCATCAATCACTAAGAAGGTTGGCAGAGCTGACAGCGCACACGAACTTCACAGCGGGTGTCGATCACGCAACAAAACGGCTAAGAACTTCCTAATCACGTTCATTGTAATGCCACCATTCAGAAACCACTAATAAAATTTTGCTCGACAACCATAGAAATAGCATAAAATCTATTCAAATTGAATGATTAACAAAAGTTCAACAGGTTGACTGGAGTTTAGCATTGAATAATGGATTATTTAAATATTATGAACATTTTAGGTAGAGCTCGAATGTTATATTGTATGTGAAACTTTAATATTTCTACGCAGGTCGCTAGTGAATCGATATCCATGTACATCTTAATCTATTCAAATTCCAACATAATAAATTTGAAATAGAATAAGTTTAAACTTATTTTCGATTTAAATCGAAAGCTTTTTTTGAATACGTGTTTTTCAATAAATATGTATATATAAACAGAAATGAAAGCGATTAAAATTTATTACCTCATAATTTTCGTAAGAATCCAATGTGGCAACGAAACAAGGCACACAATTTTATTAAACCCCTCAATACTTAAGCACATCACGCAATGTTTAATTTTTCTAAGCTTTCATAGCTGGCTTTACACTGGCACACTTTACTTTGGTCACGATCGATTATAGAATCAAATAATTTGAGAAAATTTTACTGTTCTATAATACAATTCACTAAAATAGAATGAAGTTCTCATAGAGCACGTACTGTCGCGGGAACGTGAACAGGTGACCCCTTTTACGTCCGTTTTGGCATAAATCCGATAAAACTTTACTGTTACAAATTCACTTCCAGTGCTCTTATCAAGAGATAAATTTAACAAACAGTCAGTTTAGGCATATACGCTTTTATATTTCGAAGTTAGGTAAAATACCTAAAAATAAGTTAGATTAGAAAATGGTTAGGCACTTTATTGTCCCATAGTTCGCCGTCAACTGACAGTAACGTTAGTTTTTAGCAGTAGCCATGGCGTGTCGACTTTATAAGGACACGCCCCTATAAACCCTCATTTTTACGCATAGTCTAGTACAGAAACTTTTTTATAGGATAGAAACTCGTATGAACTCGTACATGAAATTTTTTTATAAATTTTTTTCAGGGAAGAAATATCATATATGAAAACTCTGCAATTAGATTTAAGAATGTTTCTCTCACACGAAAACTTATTGGACAGAATTTGATTATTCAAATAATACTACAGATATTTAACGGTGATCTGTAACGGTTATAATTATACATTTTAAAGATGAATAATGAAATATAAAAAATTGTGACCTCTCCTATTAAGCCTTCCCATATAAAACTAGGATAATTTTATTAGTATTTACATAAAAATATTTGCGCGTTGAGTGCCGTAGATATTAGTTATTTTCGTAGACAGTCATATCTATTATGTAATGAAATAATATTAGTAACATAAAAATGTAAATTGAGGTAATAGAATACAAATAATATACATTTGTATTCTAAATAAAGACTTCTATCTGCTCTCCCGGAAAAATATTTTTCTAATCCCTGATTTCCAGTTAGATATATCCGTGACAGCTATTATATCACTACCACCAATAGTCGGAAGAGACATGGTCGGAGAGACTTGCGCCGTGGAATCTAAAGCTTTACAAGGTCTCCAACCCATAAGATTATAGCACCACTTAGTACAGAATTGATAAAAAATATTTGATGGTATTTCTTTTACTAATATTGTTAATAATTAAAACTGTCTGCCTAATTTACTTGGTACTGCGAGAACAACTCACTTGAAGTATATAAAGTATTATTAGATAACATTTAATGAACTCAATATTTATGAAAAGTCTTATCTTCTATGCAAACTACATTATGATAATATTCTCGATATAACCACTCAAGTCTATTTTCACTCCTCTTAAACGTTGGTCACCGCGTTCATGAATAACTTAGTGCTATTGACTGCAGCCGCTCGCCTCAAATTATTTACACATGACAGCCCTAACACAGCTACTAGGTTCTACAATTCACCTATTTTTAGAAAGCAATTACTTTGATGACACACAAATAGAGAATATTGCGGATTCTCTGTAAAATATTTTTTAAATGTGGCATTTTTGTATGTACTTCGTGTATTATAAACCATTATTTTGCCTGACCATAAGTTCAGAAAAAATATTTGTTTTTTAAAATATTATGATTTTAGCCTCGTATTTAGATCTTTTCATGGAGAACCCAAAAAAGGATAACCGATTGTACGTATATGTTAAATAAAACATATAACTTTCTGCCTTTTTCTAAACATGAAAAAAGGGTGTCTATAACATAATTTGTAATTTCTGCTCAAAATGAATGAAATATAAAAATTTTGCAAAGGTATAAATTGAACAAATATTCTACACATTGTTTTTGTTCATTGATATTACTGATAATACACCCTTATTGATTTTATTAATTCATTATTTTTCATTTTTATCCAACATTTTTCCAGCAGACCTTATCCACAATAATTTGACTTTATTTTCTATCAAATTCTGATGCCTAAGGCAAGTTTGCCTTAAATAAAGCTTTTAAATTTTTTATTGCGGATTATTTGAAGAAATTAATTCCAATTAATAAACACATTAAAGAGACACTCTTTAGGCGAAAATTCGTGTTGTGGACACCATTTTATTAATAGCTTGAACACAGCGCCACCTATCGATTTCTTTTTTTTTCTTGGCCACCTATGAATGATAAACTACGTCAGTAACCTTTCTGGGTACATGTACAACATATCACCAAAGTTTCATCATTACAGGTTTTAGAAACGTATAGAAGACAAACATTCATTTTGATATATTTCGAAAATTACTTACATGATGTGTTGTACTACTCGGGCTGCTCGCAGGCGAATGCCGCCTCGCCGGTAGCGGAGCTGGCAGTGGTGCCGGCAGCGGGGCCGGCGGATGCGACGGCGGCAGGGCCTTGCCTAGCGCCGCCGCGCCGCCCTGCCCGAACAACCGGAGCACTTGCTCTGGTGATATGGGCCTCTTTTTGCCATTCGCACTGAGATGATTCGTGCTGTTTCGTAAACTGGTTGCCCCTGGAAGAAATAACGAATTAAAAATCCAATATTTATTGAAATATTCTTATATAAACCATGGTTAACAGGGTCCGTATTATTTAATATGTATTCAGCCCTTTTTAACGTCCCACTGCTGGGCACAGGCTTCTCTTCACTGCGAGGGGGTTTAGGCCATAATCCACTAATTGTTAGGTTTTCTCCGATATACAGGTTTCCTCACGATGTTTTCTCACCGTAAGACAAGTGGTAATCATGCGTATCAAAGGTGCGAGAACCGGGATTTGAATCCGCTTCACTTAAATTTCCAAGCGAGCGTGTTACCACAACGCTGCCACTGCCTTTTTATTTGATACAATGTAATAATTGTAAAATAATAGTATTTTTTGTGTGTGTGTATCTTGTTTTTAATTAGTTTATAATTGTTAGGTTAGAGTAATTTGACATACTTAAATTGATTCAGACTTGTAAAAAACTGTGTAGTATTGATTAATTATTTTTTCTGTAGACTTGCGTCTATATGAATTTCACTGACTTAAAATTAAGTTAGACCCTATATGACTGTAGCGAAAATATACAATGTCCAGTATTGTGTCTCAGTATCTGTGTCAGTATCTGGCCTTCAATAAGTACCTACCTATACTATAATTAGATGGAATAATTCTCGTAACTAGGAGCTCAGTGTTATGCCCTTGTCTATGATTATTTGTATCTTAGAGGATAATGTATATATAAATGTTCTGCATATAACATTTTTTACATTATATATCTTTTTTTGCCAACGTTAGATTCTAATAATATTTGTCCTTCTCACGGCCGATTTTGGCCATGGCAGCCAGGAGACATTATAGTGGACAAGTATTCGTGCAGACACAAGTTCACTCTCTATTCCAGTCACTCTCATACTCCGGTGGGACGACTACTCGACACGATCAGTGAGAGTTGAGGCACAGGACTGACGGCTTCACGTGCTCTCCGAGGCATGGAGGTGAAACATCCTCAACTTCCCAACTCCGGGCTGTTGGGACTCGAACCCAGTACCTCTCGATGTGTAGCCGTACTTGCTAGCCACTACACCACCGAGGCAGTCTCTAAATGTCTAATCTAATAATATAAAAATAAATGTATCATGTGGAACTCTGAAATGTAGCGTATATAATTCTTTGTATTTTTACATTTACTCAAGAGATAAAAGAAAGAAGATATTATAACGCTCGTAATATACGACATATAAACATACATAAGCCTCTTATAACATTTAACCTCAATTCCATTTCTTACATATCTAATAAACTTAAGTGTCTTTTATTCGGCAAAACAAATTTTGACGATTTCGTATAAACAAGAAGTCGTTATAAAGATTAGGATTCAAACTCTTAATACTTGCAAGATTTGCATAAAGAGATTAGTATTTGTTATCCGTTTTTATTTGAACTGAGCCAACCAAATATGTATATAAATTCATATAATGAAGTTTAAATATAAGTATTGACATACTTAATTGTAATAATTACTTTTTAACGTGTACAGTTTACCAGTCGATTAATTATTTTGTATAATGTGATTTTTCCAACCTTAAGGATTTTTGTGGGTGATTTTTTTTAAATTTATGTGGGGTCCTTGAAGTATAATGCCCTTTTTATTAAAAAAAGAATTATAAAAATCAATACACAATTGGTGTAGATAAACACATATATATGTGTGTAAAATTTAAAGAAGCTGCATGAGTAAATTAGGAAAATAATTTTGATATGTATTATGAAAGATTCAAATTAAGATTTACATTTTATATTAAGAAGTGGTAACCAAAATGCATACTTAATGCAAGGACACGTTTCGCCCAAAGCTTCAAATGCACTGCTTTGTTGGATAGCTGTAATAATATGTTCCGCACTTCTATTATCAAGAAATAAAATGTTATCCTTCCCATTTGCTATTCCAGAGAACAAAAGCTTGCTACGCTTTAAACTCTTTAAATACCTTCTATTTATAGATATGTGTATTTATCTATTTATGCACAAATAATAAAATAGTGAACTTTCTTAAGAAAATTGGAAACTCTCATGGAAATAAATGTAGATAGATAGAGAGGAAGAGGAAGACGAAGAAAAGATGGATAGAATGTGTGAGACAGGACATGAAAGAGAAAGGGGTGAATGATGCGGTAACGAGTGATAGGAGAGAGTGGAAAAGGAAAACTTACTGCGTCGACCCCAAGCAATTTGGGAAATGGGCAGGGAGATGACGGTGATGATGAAAATATTGAACTTTCTGCATCTGTATAGTAAAAATTATTTATAGAAAGGAAATAACTTGGGGACATGAAGAATAAATAATAGAATATAACATTAAATCACCTGCGCTGTTAGCTATTGTCGTAGACCCCAGATATGGGGTTCTTGACAGTTTCCCCGGGTAGTGATGCTGTGAATACTGTGCGTGGTGTCCATGGGAAGAGGCCGGCCTTTCCACTATAGTGTAAGAAGTGCCAGGCGGAGAATAGTAGACGCCGCCGCGCGCCCGCGCACGTGCGTCTTCCGCCTCGTAGCTGGTATGCCGGTTGTCCTGTAACCACTGGTTGAATCCAACATTCTAATAAATAAGACTTCCCTGGTGGGAATAGATACTCGTTATAAAAACATTTCCCTCATAAATATGTTTTAAATCGGACAGATAATAATATGAATACGCTCTATCTATTGTGTAAGGGAAACAGCGGAATTTAGTAAAATAATTATTTTGATCTCCTTTCCCACCTACATTATTTTATTATACTTACAGTCTAAAATACATACATACAACAAACATTCCCTCATGTCAATATAGAACGCGAGAAATCGATCGATATTTTAAGGTTAAAAAGGTACTATTCTACAGTTTTGAATGTCATTAATTTTCTAAATTAGCTTTATCCCAAAATCTGTTCACATATAGATACATATATTAACTCCGTATACCTACATAACAAAAAATACTTAGTTTACGCAGTAAATCGTACTCTAGTACGCAGTACGCGGTTGAAAGAACTTTGAGTCATTCATTGTTTAATTTACCTGCTGCGAGCGGGAGTGCCTCGCGAGGTGGTGCGCGGGCGGGTGCTGGGGGGTGGCGGAGCGCCAGCCGTAGCCCTGCGTGTAGGGCGGCGGCCAGCGCGCGCCGAACTCCGCCAGCTCGGAACCCTCGCCCTCCCCCGACCTCATGCCGGGGGTCACCGATCACTCTACGATACAATAGATTTTTTTTAATTTAAATAATTTCTGGTAATTTGGACTCATTTATGCAGCATCTAACTTTTTTGAGTAAGTTATAAGGGTAACTTATTCAAAACTTTTCACTAAACAATTCATCATAGTTTTAGTTTTAATAAGAAAATCTTGCTACACTGTAGCATAAATTTTAACTAATAAGTAGGTACAAGAAAAAGCAATTTGCAGAGGCGCGTGGCACCTGGGCGCGGTCCAATTTATGAGCCCACTTTCTTGCGCCAACACAATCACTACACCAGTAAATTTAAATCTTATCTAAACTATCCACTTGTTCGGAATAATCAAAATCTGCAACAAAGCTTTAAGTTATTTACCTACACAAAAATTATTAAGCTTATTTGAAATATGGATTAAAAAAATTCGAATATTATTTTATTACATTTCATCGTGGTAGATGAAACGAAATTTTGGTTGGTGTGTTTATTCCTTGTTAATTCTTTACTTTCTTTTAAACTAGCGACTCATCCTCGCTTCGCTCGGGTTCGTCCCTAGGATAATTCCCCATACAAACTTTCATCCCCATCTTCAGCCCCTTAAGGGTTGATTTTCGCGATAAAAAGTATCCTATGTTCTTTCAAAGGTCTCTAACTATCTTTTTACCAAATTTCATCTAAATCGATTCAGTAGATCCAGAGATTACCCCCTACAACGTCACAAACTCACAAACTTTACCTCTTTATAATATGTATTATTAGTATAGATTATATATTTTAACGGGTTAGTTATGTTACAAATTCATGATTATTTAATAATTTTATATAGGTAAAACTATACCTAAGTGTTTAGTAGATAGGTATAGGTACTACATAGGTACCTAACTACCTACAAAATATAACCAATCTTATCACGAACAAGTTCGTGGCTGTACAGCGACCAGCACACGTTTACTTCCGCTCGTTTCACTAATGAGTTCAAGTTTCAAGGTACTTCAAGTTTGCCGACTTTCCTTGACATGCTAACTAAGCACGTTGTTATTATATATATTTTTTTAATTTATGCACAATTGTTATACATTATTACAGCTTCATCGTTAGTACAGTTTTCAGATGAAAATCTACTATTTGACAGATCAAACAGACAGAGAAAATCTTTTGCATTATTAAACGGTCATATAGAACTGTATCTAAAATCACAATAAAATAAGAAGAATAATTTTAAAGATATAACTAGGAGTCGCAATGCTATATTTTTCAACCGACTTCAAAAAGGAGGAGGTTCTCAATTCGACTGTATGTTTTTTTTTTTTTTTTTTTTTTTTTTTTATGTTTGTTACCTCAGAACTCCGTCATTTCTAAACCGATTTGGACAATTTTTGTGTCGTTTGAAAGGGTATACTTCCAGATTGGTCCCATTTAAATTTCAAAAAAAAATACCACCCCTAAGGGTGGAAAAACTACTAATGATGAATTTAACCTACTTCTAATTGTCATATTGACTTGAAACTTTGCAAGTATTTCTATTTCCGTTGATAGTACAGTGGTTCGGTGTTGTTGACCTGATCTGATGGCAAGGCCAGAAGGTGGATAGGTGGAACTCTTCAACGGCTAATAGTAGATACTTTGAGTTTGGGCTTATTTTGTTTGATTTGACAAGCCTAACACGTTAGAATCCTTACTTTTCTACTACTGTCTACACTAAAAAGGGAAAAATAAAAACTTTTTAACAAAAAAATAAAAACCGACTTCAAACAAATGCACTAAAAAGTAAAAAATAACTGATTGGTAGTTTTCATTTACTATACATACCTAATCAAATATTTTCGAAGTCGGTGTGCTTTGGCTAAGTAATTAGAGCCTACCTATTAAATACATACCTAATCAAATATTTTCGAAATCGGTGCCAGCCCATACAAAGCAAAGCACACCGACTTCGAAAATATTTGATTAGGTATGTATAGTAAATGAAAACTACCAATCAGTTATTTTTTACTTTTTAGTGCATTTGTTTGAAGTCGGTTTTTATTTTTTCAACCGACTTCAAAAAGGAGGAGGTTCTCAATTCGACTGTATGTTTTTTTTTTTTTTTTTTTTTTTTTTTATGTTTGTTACCTCAGAACTCCGTCATTTATTAACCGATTTGGACAATTTTTGTGTCGTTTGAAAGGGTATACTTCCAGATTGGTCCCATTTAAATTTCAAAAAAAAATACCACCCCTAAGGGTGGAAAAACAACTAATAATGAATTTAACCTACTTCTAATTGTCATATTGACTTGAAACTTTGCAAGTATTTCTATTTTCGTTGATAGTACAGTGGTTCGGTGTTGTTGACCTGATATGATGGCAAGGCCAGAAGGTGGATAGGTGGAACTCTTCAACGGCTAATAGTAGATACTTTGAGTTTGGGCTTATTTTGTTTGATTTGACAAGCCTAACACGTTAGAATCCTTACTTTGCTACTACTGTCTACACTAAAAAGGGAAAAATAAAAACTTTTTAACAAAAAAATAAAAACCGACTTCAAACAAAAGCACTAAAAAGTGAAAAATAACTGATTGGTAGTTTTCATTTACTATACATACCTAATCAAATATTTTCGAAGTCGGTGTGCTTTGGCTAAGTAATTAAAGCCTACCTATTAAATACATACCTAATCAAATATTTCGAAATCGGTGCCAGCCCATACAAAGCAAAGCACACCGACTTCGAAAATATTTGATTAGGTATGTATAGTAAATGAAAACTACCAATCAGTTATTTTTCACTTTTTAGTGCTTTTGTTTGAAGTCGGTTTTTATTTTTTTGTTAAAAAGTTTTTGTTAAAAAGTTTTTATTGAAATCAAATACTTTAGTGGTGCGGTCTTTCTGATTTGTGTAGTTATAATAGGTAATATATTAACCTTGTACCTAAATCAAAACACAAAATTAGAAAGACCGCTCCCAATAGGCTTCATTTAAGTTTCATAATCGTTAGAGAGCCTTTCAACATCGAAATTTCTTTACTAATTATAGTTTGACGGTGTAATGTATTTCCGAGCTATGGTCGACACTTCCGGCCTCGAGTTTTCTGGCCACTCAAGACCAGCCTACTTCCGTTTTTCACCACAAAGAACGATTATACGAACGAAGCAGAACAAAAATGCTAGACTATGGTACTGTAAGGTAAGTTCAATATTATAGATCCATACCTTCAAATGTTAAATTAAAAAAAAGATTTTTAGCAATTTCATTATCAAGGTTTCACCCTGTAAAATCAACACATATGTATTATTAAACGTAGTCCCCTCGCCGCGTCTATCTGTCTTTCTGAACTCGATAAACTCAAAAACTACCGAACAGATTTTTATACGGTTTTCACCGATTGACGGAGTGATTCTTGAGAAAGGATTATTTATACATTCATTAAAGTTTTGGGCTCTGAAATACGACGATGATTATTGAAGATGTCAAAAAAATTATGCCGACTGGTAGCTTCACTGATGTGCGACGCGTAAGCATGTAGTTATATTAAAACAATATAATTATATAATTAATACGGAATTCCTCTTAAAAAGATCTATTATATTAAACTGTGCACTCGAGCGAAGCGAGGGTAAGTCTAGTTTATAACTAAAATATAATCATCTCTAAGTTTAGAATATTTTATACTTGATTATTTTTCTAACCTTATAGACATTCATCTTTAAGTTCAGAATTTTCCTTTTTAGAAAATGATATAATACGAAAATAGCACTTGGAAAACTTAAGATAGCACGTGTTGAACCTGCACCATCAATAAATAACATCTCAATTGAAATAGTTATTTCAAATTAAGTTAAACTTGTCAAGTTACGTTGAGAAGCATAAAAGCCGTCAAGAATGTTCCAAAAGATGTTACATTTAAAGAACATTTCTGTCCTACTTTACTACGAGTATCTTCTTTTAAATCTCCTATACTGGCATTTTTCTAATCTTAAGTTGTGTCCTCTTACGAGTTAACCCGTATCCTCGTTTGTTTCAAGGGATTTGCTAACAAAAAAGTTTCTTTGTATACAAAGAAAATTTATTACATCTGTACCGATATTTCTAAAATATTTTACATGGTAAAAATATTTTATTTCTATTTCAATTATCCTAATAAAGAAAAAGAGAGAAATAAAAGTTTTTTTTTTATTTAATGATAGCTCTAAAATGTTTACAATATTGGACAGTCTATGTTATTTTTTACAAAAATATTATCCAACATGAAGCTTCATTATTAAAACCCGCTAAAACGATTCATAGCTTTAATCAAACTTCAAAGGCTTAGGGTAAAGGGGAATTGGGCGTTTAAGAGCTTGATTGTTAATTTCAACAGATTATAATTTGATTAAACGATCTCAATTTACCCATAATGAAGTTTGTTATTTACAAAAAAAACTAACACGTTTTAATGCTACGTAATACCGACATATTTTATACAAAACATATAATTTTTCAAAAAGTATTTCCTCATATATGTTTATATTTAAAAATGTATAGTTATAAGTAGATATAATTCTTTCGTAACATATTGAACGAAGTAATTTCGAAGATAGATGAATCATGAAGTTAATGACACATGATTGACGAATCTGCGCCCCAGGTCAAAAGTCCGCACTGCGGTCTATGTTTTCTTTATTCGGGATATTTCTGATATTAATTAATTGTATACATAATTCTTACTTCTATTTTCGAATTTTGCTATAAAAACATATTTACTAAAAAAAATTATAAGTCTAATCTAAAAAGGCTTATCAATTATCATTGATCCTAAAAATTAATTTCTTAAAATATGTATTACTCAATATACAATAGCATTATCTATACATATAATAAAACAGTAAATTAGCGAAATCTGCACATAAAATATTTTTTTAAAACAATGACTGTCACGTATTGCTTTTGTAAAAAATGATTTTTTACATGTATGTCTGTTTGTGTGTGCGCGTTTTACGTCAAAAGTTATTTTTGCTAATAATAAAATATGTATTGCGAT